ATTAGATATTCAACAAGAAACATCACACAATACTTTACAAGGGTGTCTGTGATTATTCTTGCCATCCAATTATGTTTGTTTGTCAACTATCTCTCCTGGTTAATTACGTTTTGTAAATTTAAGTTTTCAGCACTCAAGTCCACATTACTTAATGCATGTCCGAGGTTGACGAGTGCTAATTTCACTCAACTTAAAAAAATAAAAAGGGCAGTAGACATTTACAGATCATAGTCTAGCCCAAAACGAATGACTGTTTCAGCATGTACAAAGTAACAATACAAAACATATTATCTTAGCAAACATTTAAAAAAGTAACAAATTAATCCAAGTGACTTGTGACTTTTATATTTAATAAACATTTAAAAACGATACATGATACTATTGACCTGCTAAATTACTCTCATCTAGCACAAAAAACTATTAGAAATAATGATTTGACCAAACAAAATACAGTGGGGAAGAAAAGTATTTAGTCAGCCACCAATTGTGCAAGTTCTCCCACTTAAAAAGATGAGAGAGGCCTGTAATTTTCATCATAGGTACACGTCAACTATGACAGACAAATTGAGAAAAAAATTCCAGAAAATCACATTGTAGGATTTTGTATGAATTTATTTGCAAATTATGGTGGAAAATAAGTATTTGGTCACCTACAAACAAGCAAGATTTCTGGCTCTCACAGACCTGTAACTTCTTCTTTAAGAGGCTCCTCTGTCCTCCACTCGTTACCTGTATTAATGGCACCTGTTTGAACTTGTTATCAGTATAAAAGACACCTGTCCACAACCTCAAAAAGTCACACTCCAAACTCCACTATGGCAAGACCAAAGAGCTGTCAAAGGACACCAGAAACATAATTGTAGACCTGCACCAGGCTGGGAAGACTGAATCTGCAATAGGTAAGCAGCTTGGTTTGAAGAAATCAACTGTGGGAGCAATTATTAGGAAATGGAAGACATACAAGACCACTGATAATCTCCCTCGATCTGGGGCTCCACGCAAGATCTCACACCGTGGGGTCAAAATGATCACAAGAACGGTGAGCAAAAATCCCAGAACCACACGGGGGGACCTAGTGAATGACCTGCAGAGAGCTGGGACCAAAGTAACAAAGCCTACCATCAGTAACACACTACGCCGCCAGGGACTCAAATCCTGCAGTGCCAGACGTGTCCCCCTGCTTAAGCCAGTACATGTCCAGGCCCGTCGGAAGTTTGCTAGAGTGCATTTGTATGATCCAGAAGAGGATTGGGAGAATGTCATATGGTCAGATGAAACCAAAATAGAACTTTTTGGTAAAAACTCAACTTGTCGTGTTTGGAGGACAAAGAATGCTGATTTGCATCCAAAGAACACCATACCTACTGTGAAGCATGGGGGTGGAAACATCATGCTTTTGGGCTGTTTTTCTGCAAAGGGACCAGGACGACTGATCCGTGTAAAGGAAAGAATGAATGGGGCCATGTATCGTGAGATTTTGAGTGAAATCCTCCTTCCATCAGCAAGGGCATTGAAGATGAAACGTGGCTGGGTCTTTCAGCATGACAATGATCCCAAACACACCGCCCGGGCAACGAAGGAGTGGCTTCGTAAGAAGCATTTCAAGGTCCTGGAGTGGCCTAGCCAGTCTCCAGATCTCAACCCCATAGAAAATCTTTGGAGGGAGTTGAAAGTCCGTGTTGCCCAGCGACAGCCCCAAAACATCACTGCTCTAGAGGAGATCTGCATGGAGGAATGGGCCAAAATACCAGCAACAGTATGTGAAAACCTTGTGAAGACTTACAGAAAACGTTTGACCTGTGTCATTGCCAACAAAGGGTATATAACAAAGTATTGAGAAACTTTTGTTATTGACCAAATACTTATTTTCCACCATAATTTGCAAATAAATTCATTAAAAATCCTACAATGTGATTTTCTGGATTTTTTTTCCTCATTTTGTCTGTCATAGTTGACGTGTACCTATGATGAAAATTACAGGCCTCTCTCATCTTTTTAAGTGGGAGAACTTGCACAATTGGTGGCTGACTAAATACTTTTTTTCCCCACTGTATGACACAGCACTGCAGACTCTGATGTGGGAGTTCCTCTCCAGGCTGGAGAAGATGCTTCCAACACCAACATTTCAACAGGTAGGTGCAATTTGGGAAGAGACAATTGAGGCAGTCTTGAATTTCTGATGTCGTTGATGTCTGGTAGTACTAACAGGAAGTTGCCCCACTGTGTATGATGTTGTTATATTGCTGAGTCTACCATACAATGTTGTTGCTATTTTGTCAATTAAACTTGCTGCACATTTAAAACCACCTCCCTTCTCAGACTGCACCATGGCTCAGACCTGCCCCCTCTATGCTGAAGGAGTGTGCACAGTCTGTAACTCAACCTCAGCCTGAAGACTTTTCTCCAGCACAACAGATGCCATGGGCATTTGTTCACTAATGGTAGGCTTTTTGTTGACGTTCTTCCAGCTCTGTTTTCATACAGCGGCAAATAAGATTTATTACATTTGAATCATGGTTGCATACCACCTGCTAGAGATTCACACACGTCAGCCACAGTTGAAAAGCTCCCACTAATCAATGACATGTTACACCGGCCGCAGATGACGTGTGTCTGTAAGACTGATGAAGTGGTTGTGCTTTTGATCTCTAAGACATGCCTCTGGTAATGTTAGCAGTCAAACAACTACCCCAATGGACATTGACGGAATGCAGAGTGTAGTTTCAGTGTGTTAGTGCATTCCTTTTCAGAGAAATTAGGCCTAAGATTGCAATTATATTTAGTTTTTAGAAGTTTTAAAAAACATAAATATTTGATTATGTATGTTTTCTTTTTCCTTTAGCTCATTCATCTTGTGTCAATGATTGCATCCTCTCTTCTCTGTCTCACTCGCTCTAAGAGAAGGTGGAAATGGACATTGATGAAACACGCTCGCATAGCCTCTCTGAATCCACGTGTGCACCCAGAAATTGCACCTCATACAGTGGGGAAAAAAAGTATTTAGTCAGCCACCAATTGTGCAAGTTCTCCCACTTAAAAAGATGAGAGAGGCCTGTAATTTTCATCATAGGTACACGTCAACTATGACAGACAAAATGAGAAAAAATAATCCAGAAAATCACATTGTAGGATTTTTAATGAATTTATTTGCAAATTATGGTGGAAAATAAGTATTTGGTCAATAACAAAAGTTTCTCAATACTTTGTTATATACCCTTTGTTGGCAATGACACAGGTCAAACGTTTTCTGTAAGTCTTCACAAGGTTTTCACACACTGTTGCTGGTATTTTGGCCCATTCCTCCATGCAGATCTCCTCTAGAGCAGTGATGTTTTGGGGCTGTCGCTGGGCAACACAGTCTTTCAACTCCCTCCAAAGATTTTCTATGGGGTTGAGATCTGGAGACTGGCTAGGCCACTCCAGGACCTTGAAATGCTTCTTACGAAGCCACTCCTTCGTTGCCCGGGCGGTGTGTTTGGGATCATTGTCATGCTGAAAGACCCAGCCACGTTTCATCTTCAATGCCCTTGCTGATGGAAGGAGGATTTCACTCAAAATCTCACGATACATGGCCCCATTCATTCTTTCCTTTACACGGATCAGTCGTCCTGGTCCCTTTGCAGAAAAACAGCCCAAAAGCATGATGTTTCCACCCCCATGCTTCACAGTAGGTATGGTGTTCTTTGGATGCAAATCAGCATTCTTTGTCCTCCAAACACGACAAGTTGAGTTTTTACCAAAAAGTTCTATTTTGGTTTCATCTGACCATATGACATTCTCCCAATCCTCTTCTGGATCATACAAATGCACTCTAGCAAACTTCCGACGGGCCTGGACATGTACTGGCTTAAGCAGGGGGACACGTCTGGCACTGCAGGATTTGAGTCCCTGGCGGCGTAGTGTGTTACTGATGGTAGGCTTTGTTACTTTGGTCCCAGCTCTCTGCAGGTCATTCACTAGGTCCCCCCGTGTGGTTCTGGAATTTTTGCTCACCGTTCTTGTGATCATTTTGACCCCACGGGGTGAGATCTTGCGTGGAGCCCCAGATCGAGGGAGATTATCAGTGATCTTGTATGTCTTCCATTTCCTAATAATTGCTCCCACAGTTGATTTCTTCAAACCAAGCTGCTTACCTATTACAGATTCAGTCTTCCCAGCCTGGTGCAGGTCTACAATTTTGTTTCTGGTGTCCTTTGACAGCTCTTTGGTCTTGGCCATAGTGGAGTTTGGAGTGTGACTGTTTGAGGTTGTGGACAGGTGTCTTTTATACTGATAACAAGTTCAAACAGGTGCCATTAAATACAGGTAACGAGTGGAGGACAGAGGAGCCTCTTAAAGAAGAAGTTACAGGTCTGTGAGAGCCAGAAATCTTGCTTGTTTGTAGGTGACCAAATACTTATTTTCCACCATAATTTGCAAATAAATTCATACAAAATCCTACAATGTGATTTTCTGGAAAAAAATTTCTCAATTTGTCTGTCATAGTTGACGTGTACCTATGATGAAAATTACAGGCCTCTCTCATCTTTTTAAGTGGGAGAACTTGCACAATTGGTGGCTGACTAAATACTTTTTTTCCCCCACTGTATAGCAATGAGAGTGACTCTTTGATAGAGCAAGATAATGCAGAGAAGGAGCGGGGGATGAGTTTGGACACGGTTAAGAAGGCAGTGGAAATGAAGGATGGAAGGACAGAGGAATGCGGAGAGAACAACTATGAGGAGAGACTGCAACATGAGTTGGCTTATGATGTTTTAAAGGTAGAGATTGTAGATGGAGAAGACATATGCTCAACATCATTGACAGAAGCCGACAATGTTGGACGGACCTGGCCCCCAAAGGAAACAGAAGCTTTGATCTCTGTATGGTCAAACAAACAGATTCTTCAGAAGATGGAACGAAGTTATAGAAAAAAACATGTGTATAGTGACATTTCTAAGCAGATAAAGGACCTTGGCGTCAAAAGGACTTGGAAGTAGTGCCGAACAAAGTTGGAGGACATGAAGCTCAGCTACACACAAACACTGAGGAATCCAAGCAGTAGTGGCCGAGTGAACTGCCCATTGTTTTCTGAACTGCACACATTTCTTGCCGCCCACCTGATACAACCAATATCCAGTATCTGGAGTCCAAGGAAACTGGCAAGGTTTCAGATGCAGAAGTCATGTCCTCAGACCAGGATGACGGGCCTTCTGTGGATGTCAAGTTAGAGCCTGTACATAAGGAAATGGCTTCCAGAAAAGAGACACACAAGACACTCACCGGAGAGCAAACAGAAGAGAGAAAAGGGGATGAAGCTTTTCACAGCCCTCAAAGTCACAGCAGGATGAAAATCAAAAGAATATCCCACCCTTGCGAACAGATTCAGATGTGGACCTTATATATTATTATATTATTTATATTATATACCTTCAGCCGGTAGTGCTGCTGACGCAACTTGATGAAAACCTTCTGATGACAGGTGAGTAAAAAATTTCTATATTACTTTAAAAAATATATTAATTCAAGGAAGTTTAATGTGTGTAGAAAATGTATTCCAAGGCTCAAGTTAGGGGTGAGAGTGACTGTATTATCCTTTAACAAATTATACTTCTCTCCTCTCAACACCAGGTGGTGCTCCTCTTCCTGTTTCCCATTCCACAGAGCAGTCTCCTAAAAGAAGCAAGCGTGCCAAAATATGCTCCTTATGTGGGAAGAGTTTCATTGAAGCAAAGGATTTGACCACACACAAATTTGTGCACAGAAATAAGCTTGTTCTCAATATGGAACATTTCTGGGATCTTTTATTTCAGCACATGAAACATGGGACCAACACCCTACATGTTGCGTTTATATTTTTGTTCAGTTAGATTAATCACTGTACCGAGTGTTGAAAGGGTTTCCTGACTGTGACAGAACTGGACCTGTTCTGTATCTATAGCGTAGACGCTACCCAGTCGTTCAGTCTTTTTGTTCTGTATCTATAGGACACCTGACCCTGTCGTTCGTTCTAAATGTTCCATTGCCATACTGGCTGGCAACGTTCTTATCCCTTGCTAGCCAACTACTGCTAATTTACAGTCACTTCAAAAAGTGCAGCCAGAATAACAGCAGCTGCATTTGATTTGTTTAAGCTGTTTTCTAGTGACATTTATTTGCAAACATCCATAACAATGAGCTAATGAGGTGCGATTTCGCCTGGCATAGAAAATGTGCTCACTCGTCAGGACACTGTTGTTCAGAGGAGCTAGCCAACAGCACAGCTACAGTAGCACAAACACTTCAAACTGAAGCTGGAAAGACTGCAAATTAGCTGCGTTTCGTTTGACCTTTTTTCAATTGATTTTTTTTTGTATATATCAATAAAAATGATGCCAGCTGATTCATGATTTCGACTGGCAGACAGCAAGGTTTATACAAATCTCCATTGTTGAAAACAAAATGGTAGTCTAAAAGAAATGTGAGATAATGTCTAGATGCTTTTTATAGTGGAGATCAAGTTTATAAATTGCCTGGCTGGGCTGCTGAGACAGTAAATTGCGCAGTCAGATGGAACAAAGTAAATTGGCATTTTAATGTCATAGATTTAGCCGGTGGTAACTTGTGGAATAGACACCGGCTGGAATGCGGTTTTAACCAATCAGCATTCAGGATTAGACCCACCCGTTGTATAAACATACATATTACCTCAATTACCTCGACTAACCTGCACATTGACTCTGTACCGGTACCCCCTGTATATAGCCTCGTTATTTTATTGTGCTACTTTTATTATTTTGCTAAAACTGCATTGTAGGTTAAGGGATTGTAAGTAAGCATTTGACTGTAATTTCTACAACTGTTGTATTTGGCACATGTGACAAAAAGTTTTATTTGATATCGGGCACACTGAAAACCTTAAATAAAATAAAAAATATAATAATCAAGAAAAAAACGTTATTGATGGGAGAATTAAACTATAAAATAATGAAGAAAGATTTTAAATATTTTATTTTATGGCTTATATTTTCGTGGAAGTTGAATAAGACCCGGGGACATGGCAAAAACACCTACATCCACTGAAGAAAAAGTGTTCAAAATTGATAAAATTCCTTTTCAAGATCCATATTTTTGTGTTTTTAAGGTAGGACACCTGACCTTATATTTAAAGCCTTTTAGAATCCACATGTTTCTTCTGGGTACAGAAAAAGCACCACAAGGTAGGAATGACCTTGTTGGTTTCGGCCGCGTTTCAGGGTGCCTGCATTTCAGTCACATTGCACAGATTATCAGACTTAAATCATATTGATTGGGTTCTTGTAAGTGGGATGAGGGGGAGTATGATTCAATGGTTAATAATCAAATTCAATTTGAAAGCTACTTTCCTGCAATTCTACACATTTTGCTATGGGGTGGAGAGAAAATTTAGCCGTTTTAAACCTAATTTCCTTCAATTCTACTCAGTTTGCCGTAGAGGGAGAATTTTGTATTTTTAAAGCTATTTTCCTGCAATTCTAAAACAAAATTCTATGGGGTGGAAGAATTTAGCAGTTTTCAAGCTAATTTCCTGCAATTCCACACATTTTGCCTTGAATTATGCCATGGTCATACGATATCTGGTTGACTAACAAAATCAATGGGGGCCTCTTGGAGGTCAGGGGCCCCCCAAAAGGCTAGAGATAGGCCCGGTCGGTAATTTAGATAGTTGGCTAGACGTAACTTACCTAGAAATCTATAAAATGGTAGCTGACATAGGCTTATTGAGTGACTGTCAGTGACTGAAATAACAAGAGGAAAACTACTGATGCACTACCACATTTTGAAATGGTAACTTTGTGTATTCTATTTTTTTTCTTCACGAGGCCCGCTGATGATGTGAGGCCTCAGGCAATTGTCTTAGTTGCCTAATAGTAAGTCCGCCACTGATAACAACTAAACCATAGGACAAATATTAAGACTCACAGAACTATATACAGTGCATTCGGAAAGTATTCAGACCCCTTGACTTTTTCCACATTTTGTTACGTTACAGCCTTATTCTAAAATTGATTAAATTAAAAAAAATTCTCATCAATCTACCCCATAATGACGAAGCGAAAACAGGTTTTTAATATTTTTTGCAAATGTATTAAAAATAGAAAACAAATACCTTATTTACATAAGTATTCAGACCCTTTGCTATGAGACTCGAAATTGAGCTCAGGTGCATCCTGTTTCCAATGATCATCCTTGAGATGTTTCTACAATTTGATTGGAGTCCACCTGTGCTAAATTCAATTGATTGTACATGATTTGGAAAGGCACACACCTGTCTATATAAGGTCCCACAGTTAACAGTGCATGTCAGAGCAAAAACCAAGCCATGAGGTCGAAGGAATTGTCCGTAGAGCTCAGAGACAGGACTGTGTCAAGGCACAGATCTGGGGAAAGGTGCCCAAAAAATTTCTACAGCATTGAAGGTCCCCAAGAACACAATGGCCTCCAAAATAATTAAATGGAAGAAGTTTGGAACCACAAAGACTCTTCATTTGGCCGCCCTGCCAAACTGAGCAATCGGGGGAGAAGGGCCTTGGTCAGGGAGGTGACCAAGAACCCAATGGTCACTCTGACAGAGCTCCAGAGTTCCTCTGTGGAGATGGGAGAACCTTCCAGAAGGACAACCATCTCTGCAGTACTTCACCAATCAAGCCTTTATGGTAGAGTGGCCAGACGGAAGCCCCTCCTCAATAAAAGGCACATGACAGCCCGCTTGGAGTTTGCCAAAAGGCAAAGGACTCTCAGACCATGAGAAACTGATGAAACCAAGATTGAACTATTTGGCCTGAATGCAAAGCGTCACGTCTGGAGGAAACCTTGCACCATCCCTACGGTGAAGCGTGGTGGCAGCATCTTGCTGTGGGGATGTTTTTCAGCGGCAGGGACTGGGAGACTAGTCAGGATCGAGGGAAAGATGAACAGAGCAAAGTACAGAGAGATCATTGATGAAAACCTGCTCCAGAGCGCTCATGACCTCAGACTGGGGCGAAGGTTCACCTTCCAACAGTACAATGACCCTAAGCACACAGCCAAGACAACGCAGGGGCGGCTTCGGGACAAGTCTCTGAGTGTCCTTGAGTGGCCCAATCAGAGCCCGGACATGAACCTGATCGAACATCTCTGGAGAGAAAATAGCTGTGCAGCGACGCTCCCCATCCAACCTGACAGAGCTTGAGAGGATCTGCAGAGAAGAATGGGAGAAACTCCCCAAATACAGGTGTGCCAAGCTTGCAGCATCATACCTAAGAAGACTCGAGGCTGTAATCGCTGTCAAAGGTGCTTCAACAAAGTACTGAGTAAAGGGTCTGAATACTTATGTAAATGTTATATTTCCGTTTTTAGTTTTTAATAAATTAGCAAAAATGTCTAAACCTGTTTTAGCGTTGTCATTTGATACAGCCTGGAAATGAACCAGGGGGTCTGTAGTGACGCCTCAAGCACTGAGATGCAGTGCCTTAGACCGCTGTGCCACTTGGGAGCCCAAGTGGGGTAGTGTGTGTAGATTAAGGGGGGGGGGGGGGGGGGGGGGGGGGGGGGGGAAATTAAGCTGTAATGTAACATGTTGGAAAAGTCAAGGGGTCTGAACACTTTGTGACTAGGCAACGGGATAGATAAACAGAAACAGCAGCGTATGTGATGAGTCAAAAGAGATTAGTGCAAAAAGAGTCAATGCAGATATTCCAGCTAGCTATTGGTTAATTAACTATTTAACTGTCTTACAGCTTGGGGGTAGAAGCTGGTCAGGGTCCTGTTGGTTCCAGACTTGGTGCATCGGTACTGCTTGGAATGCAATAGTGATCGCGTCATTTGTGGATCTGTTGGGGCGATATGCGAATTGGAGTGGGTCCAGGGTGTCTGGGAAGATTGTGTTGATGTGAGCCATGACCAGCCTTTCAAAGTATTTCATGGCTAAAGATATAAGTGCTACGGGGCGGTAGTCATTTAGGCAGGTTACCTTAGCGTTCTTGGGCACAGGGACTATGGTGGTCTGCTTGAAACATGTAGGTATTACAGACTGGGTCAGGAAGAGGTTTAAATTGCCAGTGAAAACACTTGTTTAAAGGTCTTGCTAACATCAGCTATGGATAGCATGATCACACAGTCGTCCGGAACAGCTGGTGCTCCCATGCATAGTTCAGTGTTGCTGGCCTCGAAGTGCTTATAGAAGGTATTTAGCTTGTTTGGTAGGCTCGCGTCACTGGGCAGCTCATGGCTGGGTTTCCATTTGTAATCCGTGATAGTTTGCAAGCCCTGCCACATCGGACGAGTGTCAGAGCCGGTGTAGTAGGATTCGATCTTGGTCCTGTATTGACACCTCGCATGTTTGATGGTTCGTCAGAGGGCATGGCGGGATTTCTTATAAGCGTCCGGCTCATTGAAAGCGACAGCTCTTTAGCTCAGTGCGGATGTTGCCTGTAATCCATGGCTTCTGGTTGAGATATGTGGGTCATTCTACAGATTCGGTGACATTTCAGTATTGTCAGTGTCCCAAGATGTACTAGTGTTATAACTTGTCAGAACATTTATCAAACTACACTTAAATTACAACATTTCAAAGTTTTACATGTTTTTAATATGGAGTAGAGAATATGATTTTAAACAGAGATGAATTTCAATACTTATATGTTTGCTTTTCTTAGGAGTATTAAGAATTTCGCCTGTCCCTATTGACCATCATGCAAATGGCGTGACTCATTTTGAGTACACAGTGTTAAATAATAATGCTTTTTTTTTGTTAAATTAATTGTATATGCCCCCTTATTATGCATAATCCATTTTCTCAGCATAAGACATTTTATTTTCTGAGAAATTCAGGCTTTTACCCCTGTCCTTGTATTTCTTTCAACCCCGTAACGCAACAATACCCCCACTCACAATTAAATAATGGTTTGATCCTGTGGACATCATTTATGAGGAAGTGACATCATACAAGTCTTCAGAGAAGCCTGGTGTGACAAGTGGTAAGCTGCTCTCTCACTTTTTATAAATATTTCATGTTTTTTAAGCACATATGGGCTTTGTCAATCTCAGGTATTCAACTCTGTTGGGGGGGGGGGGAATTCATAGTTAAGATTTTACCAAGAATTGTTTTTATAGCTATGAAGTATAACAATGTCTTTTGTTGAATAAGGCCATGTGGCACACTGCTAGCTGCTAGCATCCCGAATTAGCAACAGATTAGCACAAAATCTTCAACCCTGTCACATTCAACCCCATCACATTTTTCAATGTTACGGGGTTGAATGGCTGTTACAGGGTTGAATAGCTGTTAAATCTTAGCAATATTTAATGTATATTGCTTAATACCAATCATATTTTCTTGTTGAATGTTTGTTGTTTACGGTTTTACAGTATCAACTAAAAGTACGAGGAATTTTTGAAAATAATAACTTAAAAAAGTGACAATTATTTTGTTCTCTCTCCTATATACATTGACATATTTAGGAGTATTATCTGCAAGTTCCTGTTCATTTTACTACATAGTGATTAAAAGGATACAGTAACTAGTTTTGGAGAGTAAACTGGTCATTGACTTGACCTTGACCTACAATTTCAGATTCAACAATGGCAAAAACAGCAGCAGAAAGGCAAAGATTTGCCAGTAGTTCCATCCACAATGCGGATCCACCAAGTTGTTTGTGTGGCTGCAAGGCAAATTGCCTACCGTGATGTAAGCTGTATGTGCACAGTCCACAACAAGAAACTGGAATGCCAGTGTTTCAATACACAACATTTCACATTTACCCCTAAAGTTACATCAGTCGTGTCACAGAGGGAGGTTGATTGGGCAAATCCAGACATATGCGGGAAATGGTGCGTGGCCAAATATGATGACGATTTCTATCCCGGAATAATTCTAGCCACAGATGAATCCCATGTGCAGGTCAAATGCATGTGCTGTGCTGGACCAAATAGGTACTTCTGGCCACTTCTTGATGATATCCTGTGGTATCCATTTGAGGACATCTTGGAACACATTGATCCCCCTAAACCGGTGACTTCTAGGCACATGGACATACAGAAGGAAGTGTGGGCTAGGCTCTCTCAGTAAAAATGGTGAACAAACTGTAGGCTTACCTATAGGTTATTAATGTTAAGATGTTTGCTTAATGTTCAAACATTCAAACAACACAGACATTCCTGCCATTACTCTGGATATTTCTATGAAATCAATGAAATGTTGTAACTGTTGTTAGTTTATTAATGTGTTTTAATCTGTCTAGATTTCATCTTGATTGTTTAAACTTTAAAAGCTATGTTGACAGTAGTTTAAAATGTAAAAAAATGGCAACATGTGACCTATATAGGTTATCAATGTTAAGATGTTTGCTCAATGTTCAAACAGACTCCTGCCATTATCAGATGGATATTTTTATGAAATCAATGAAATGTTGTTACTGTTATTAGTTCATTAATGTGTTTTACTCTGTCTAGCTTTCATCTAGATTGTTTAGATTTTAAAAGCTATGTTGACAGTAGGTTTAAAAATGTTTAAAATGTTTAAAAAATGGCAACATGTTAGTGATCTCAAAAGATAAAACATATGACACGTGATGCTTTTCACTCAACCCTGTTACATGATTTTCAACCCTGTTGCGGTGCATTCATCCCTGTTACGAGATTATTTTTTTACATTTTTGTATTAAATACACAAAATATAACATCAATAGTGTTTTTATTGTGTGTATTAAATCAGGGTAAATAAGGCTATTTCAATTTTGTCAGGAATTACGCAGCATTCTTGCACATTTCTTGCGAAAATGTGGAGTTAGATTAGAAATTTCTTCATCGTAAACTGGAAAGGATGGTGCTGGTCAGTTTTTCTTGATTTTCTCTTTAATTACAATATGCCATTATTTACAAGGGACATCTAAACTGTGAGATTATGCCAGAAGCTGATCTCAAGCTTATTGGAAAAATGAATAGTTGAATAACAAAATGACTGTGACGGGGTTGAATTAAATTGGGACTTGTTTGAGAAAATAATACAGAATAATAACTTAATACTCTACATTGAGATGGGAAAAGGTATTTTCTATCAAGTACACACATTACTTTGTCACATCAAATAAAAAAAGCTTAAGATTTTAATGTTCATTGTTTCATCCTCCTCAATCACAAAAGGCACCGAATCTGTAGAATGACCCATGTATGTACGGTCACTGTCCCCACAATGTCATAGATGTACTTATTAATAAAGCTGGTGATTGATGTGCTAAACTCTTCAATGCCATCAGATGAATCCCGGAACATATTCCAGTCTGTGCTAGCAAAACTGTCCTCTAGCTTAGCATTTGCTTCATCGGACCACTTCCGTATTGAGCGCGTCACTGGTACTTCCTGTTTTGAGTTTTTGCTTGTAAACGTGAATCAGGAGGATAGAGTTATGGTTAGATTTGCCAAATGGAGGGCGAGGCAGAGCTTCGTATGCATCTCTGTATGTCGAGTAACGGTGATCTAGAGTTTATTTCGATTATGATCAAATTTAACTCAGTGTACAGACATTAATACCATCTTCTGGGCTGTTTTACTGATATATTTTAATCAAACGTACTTCGGCAAGTTCGTATTACTTTCTATTTCTAACATCTTCGGCAATATTCAGATTTGCAGCACGACACAAATAAGACCACCTGGAAATCGACTATGTTTCCTTGTAGATGACGTCATGACGTAACGTCTGGAAGTAGCCAGCCAAAGAGGGAGTAGTCCAACACTTTGTTTAGACGACCAAAGCTTTTGAATTTACCTAGCATCTGACACTAATATTAACATTGTACTATCTAACTTACTAGCTGCTGTAGGCTACTATCAAAAAACTAGATCAACGTTATCGACAATGTCATTGGCAGACGATGTCGGGTGGTCATGGTCCCCCGAAGAGACAAAGGCGCTGATCTCGGTATGGTCAGACAAACAGATTCTTCTGAAGATGGAGCAAACGTACAGAAACAAACATGTTTACAGCGAAATTTCGGAGCGGCTAAAAGACCTTGGTGTCAAACGGACGTGGAAGCAGTGCCAAAACAAGATTAAGGCATTGAAGTGGAGATACAGAGAAACACTGAGGAACCCAAGCAGTAGCCGACCGTGTCCATTCTTTAATGAACTGCACGATTTTCTCGCCGCCATGCCTGACATGCCTGAGTCCAAAGAAACTGACGACGAGGAAGATAATGGTAAGCAAATCAGGTTAAATGAATAGTTTTCAGTGTCAAACCATCATAATTGTTTTCTTAACTAAAGAGGAGTTGGACTATGGTTAGCCATCTATAAAAAAAAAAATGTGGAGCGATATTATTTTCTAGAATTCGCAACTCAATTCTGATATTTTTTCACCGTACAAATCATCAAGCTCTAAAAAATATATTGATGTGAAAAGATCTGATGTGATTGGTCGAAAGACCAATTAATGGAACAAAATATAAAAATTGGGCTGCCTGTGTAAACCCAGTCACACATATCAACATCATCATCTTCAAGGGTTTAAGGCTGCGTTTAGACAGGTAGCCCAATTGTATTTTATCCACTAATTGGTGTTTTGACCAATCACTTGAGATCTTTTTACATTTGATATTTTTAAGAGCTGATGTGATTTGGCTAAAATACCAATTAGTGGGAAAAAACATCCGTATTGGGCTGTCTGTAAAGAATGTAACCTGTCCCCAGGCTTAATTGCTACCACATATAGGTTCGAAAGAGCAGCTGGTGAACAAGATTAGTTAGAATGGAAATTCGTCCTCTGCCTTTCCCAAAACCCCAGACACACACACGTTGAGGCACACCGCACCCCTGGATGGATTAAGTGCCTTGCTCAAGAACACAACAGCAGGGCCCAGTAAAAAAAGTAATAAAATCTGATTGGATTTAGAGCTGGCACAATTACTGTATAACCATATAACCGATGGTTATGGATGAAGACTGTCATGAAAATAAAATAACTGTCATTTTTTTCAAACAGCTAGCCAGCAGATTCCGAGCCTACCGTTGCGCTTGTTTACACTGAGCTGCACTGGAACGCAATCATGGTTAGATTAAGACACCGTGGAGCCGGCTCGAGATATGGGTTGGAAAACGTACCTCAATGCAGGGATGAGATGTGCCACTGTACTCCAAATTTTACCTATATCCAAACGGATATATCGAAGGTTTGAATACTGCTTGTTTTTACGGAAAAATGCCCTTTTCGTCCTCATGCTAGCTAGCAGGAGCCACTGCAGCCATTTTGGAATGGCAGTGTCAGCCAATCAGCTCCTTTGTCGATCAACATGACGTGCCATTCCATAATGGCTGCTGTGGCTACTGCTAGCTAGCATTAAGAGGAAAAGGTATGTTTTCCTGAAAAACTAGCAGTATTTCAATCCTCTCAATGTATCAGTTTGGATATAGGTAAAATTGTAAGTACAGTGGCACATCCCATCCCTGCATTGAGGTACATTTTCCAACCCATATCTCGCGCCGGCTCCGCAATGCCTTAATCTAACCATGATTGCGTTCGGAACCCAGTGCAGCAGTGTAAACAAGCGTAACGGTAGGGTCAGAATTTGCTGGCTAACAAACAGCTGACTGAATGACCACAATGCAGCAGCAGCACACAGGAATATAATAAATAGAACCTCTAACCCTGGCAATTTGACTTGTAAACTCATGGGTACACTCGCAATGGCTGCCTGGTATTGTGATGCAGTAATTTCAAGTTTTAGGGTGTGTTCATAACTGTATTCTGGAGTGCCAGAGTGCGCTCTGGGCATTCGTAAATGGTCCCGTGTGGCTCAGTTGGTAGAGCATGGCACTTGCAACGCCAGGGTTGTGGGTTCGATTCCCAAGGGGGACCAGTACGAACAAATATGAAAATGAATGCACTCACTACTGTAAGTCGCTCTGGATAAGAGCGTCTGCTAAATGACGTAAATGTAAATTCAGAGCGTTTCGCTGAAGCACCCAAGCTACCTGGCTAAAGTTGGCTAGCTTGCTAGCTACATCCAGACATAAGAGAGAACACCTCACTCTGACCATTTTACTCGCCCTAGCAGAGCTCGGTAGGCTGTTTTCATGGTATCTAGAGAATTGGTGACTGTAACTGTGCTGCTGGCAACAATTTAATTGTTTTTTTTTGCTGAAGTTTACTGACACCGGTCATATTTAACGGTTGTTGCACGTATGTAAATTCATCAGTTATTCTGCACTCTGGCACACTGAAATCGGAGTAGATGGCCAGAGTGAATTTACGAACACACCCTTAATATCACATGCACGAGTACAGTGAAAAATGCCTATACTTACCTCAACAATGCAGTAATCATAACAATGTACTACTAAAAAGAACAAGCTAGAACAAAAACACGATAAAGTAAGCATACAAGATACAGGGTCAGTTCCAGTACCATATTTACAATGTGAAGGGATACTGGATTGATAAAGGTAGATAGAGGGGTAAGGTGACTAGGCTAGGCATCAGGATATATGATAAACAGAGTAGCAGCAGTGTATATGATGAGAGTCAGTATAAATGTATGTGCATATTATGTGTGTGTGAGCAAACGATGGAGTAAGTGTTTGTATGTAGAATGTTAATTCAAATTATGTTAACTAATGTGGCTCATGCAATGGAATCTATTAAATTTTTTGTAATGTCAGTTGAGTTGAATCAACAAACCACAGGACATATTTTAGCACATATTTTACTTCCTGCTTTGCTCCTATGGGTACACTTGTAATGGCCGCCAGTTCACCCATTATGCCAACATTTAATTGAATGGGGACGTCGATTCTATTAATTATATTTATATGGCAGCACATGCAGTCAGAGCCAAGGAGAGGAGGAAATATGGGTTTAAAAAAAATCTAGCGGTCATTTGGCTGTCCAATTACCGTCATCCAAAATTCCATGACAGTCACAGCCCTAATTGGATTAAATGTTAGAATTGGGTATTTCAAAACTGAAAAATAAGATTCTGATCCTCCGAATAGGGATTTGGTAATCCAGGCTGACCTTTAATCATGATTAAATGTTGTTTTTGTGTTTATTCAAAACTCAAAAGTAGTGATTAGGATTGTTTTGATGCAGAACATTTTGATAATCTTGATCCCACTGGAAGGGTGGATTCAGGATGGATTTAGAAAGTTGAAAGGCACTACAACTGTGATATTTCAATGTAACTAAGGTGGGGAGGTTTAAACTGTCTTACATCTGAAAACCAAAGCTTCATTATGTTAAATTGATTGCAGTATAGGTCAGTTGTTATATTGAGAAGTATCAAATAAATGCATGTAGGCTACTTACTTATAAGTGAAATGCAGGCTCTATTATTTGTATTCTTAGTTACCTTCATTCATGTAGTTTACTCATTTCTGTTTCATTATGACAGAAGTAGGAACATAACCTGTCCAGTAGATGACAAGCATTTAGGCTGCTGCCACCCACATTTAGCTACGCAGCAACAAAACCACTCCATGACGTGTAAAATCTGATCATCTGTACGCTGCAATCGCAATAAAGCTGGCCTGGAACGTCACCAAATGTTTTCTTTCCTACCAGGTCTTCCTCTTCCTCTGTCGTCTCTGCGTCTTTTGGTTCCTCCACTGCGGCTGGTGTCTGCAGCTCTGTGGCAAGTTGTTCAGCGGAGAGACATAATGGACTACGGGTTGGTGGAGGAGTTTGTCACCACTGTGTTGGAGATAATCCCTGATCTGATGAGTTACAGAGAGAAAGTACAACTCATCATGGGGCTGCGAGCACAGGTGAGAGCTAGAGGGGTATGACTGAAGTACAATGTTGGGTGACATTTGTGTGCATGCAGTGCTCCCTTGAGAAAGAGACCTTGGTCTCAATGGGACTCCTGGTTAAAAATACAAAAAATCTGGTAACACTTAACTATAAGGTTCCACTTGTAAAGGGGTTATAATTACATTATTAACATTTAATGATTTGTAAATGCATTATAAATCATGAATAAATGGTTATATCGCATTGGTCAAAATAGTGCAATAACTGGTCAGTGTTTGCCAAATAGTGAGCCAATATTTACATTCAGTTTTTAACCATTTATAAATGCACTTAATTTTTTAAAACATTATTAGTCATTTAGCAGACGCTCTTATCCAGAGCGATTTACAGTTAAGTGACTGCATACATTTTCATACTGGCCCCCCGTGGGAATCGAACCCACAACCCTGGCGTTGCAAACGCCATGCTCTACCAACTGAGCTACATCCCTGCCGGCCATTCCCTCCCCTACCCTGGACGACGCTGGCTAATTGTGCGCCGCCCCATGGGTCTCCCGGTCGCGGCCGGCTACGACAGAGTCTGGATTCGAACCAGGATCTCTAGTGGCACAGCTAGCACTGCGATGCAGTGCCTTACACCACCGCGCCACTCGGGAGAGACTTAACAAATGCGCATAAGATTAACCCTCATGTACCATCATGCAACCTTCTATTCAATAGTTGCACAGTAGAACAATTAGTTATTTGCGTTGGTGCTCTGTCCCACGAACAGAAGAGGTTGATTTTCATGTCTTGACCCACATTTGAAACCCTGGCCAAATTTACATCCAGGACATTATTCAATCATCGTTCCCAACATATTACCTCTTACCAGATGATATCAACACACTTACCACTTCTCTGTGATAGTCCAATTATGGTGAATGCTCTGGTGTGAAATGGGAACCGTAATACTTTTGTTTGGTGAAACAGTGGAGGTATCTTCTCAGAATGTTGAATGTTTTGATATTCATACCCACCATTAATTGACTGAACATGTTTAACAATACTGCCTATACAGTGAGGGAAAACATTATTTGATCCCCTGCTGATTTTGTACGTTTGCCCACTGACAAAGAAATGATCAGTCTATAATTTTAATGGTAGGTTTACAGTGAGGGAAAAAATTATTTGATCCCCTGCTAATTTTGTACATTTGCCCAATGACAAAGACATGATCAGTCTATAATTTTAATGGTAGGTTTATTTGAACAGTGAGAGACAGAATAACAACAACAAAATCCAGAAAAACGCATGTCAAAAATGTTATAAATTGATTTGCATTTTAATGAGGGAAATAAGTATTTGACCCCAATATACACTGCTCAAAAAAATAAAGGGAACACTTAAACAACACAATGTAACTCCAAGTCAATCTCACTTCTGTGAAATCAAACTGTCCACTTAGGAAGCAACAATGATTGACAATAAATGTCACATGCTGTTGTGCAAATGGAATAGACAACAGGTGGAAATTATAGGCAATTAGCAAGACACCCCCAATAAAGAAGTGGTTCTGCAGGTGGTGACCACAGACCACTTCTCAGTTCCTATGCTTCCTGGCTGATGTTTTGGTCACTTTTGAATGCTGGCGGTGCTTTCACTCTAGTGGTAGCATGAGACGGAGTCTACAACCCACACAAGTGGCTCAGGTAGTGCAGCTCATCCAGGATGGCACATCAATGCGAGCTGTGGCAAGAAGGTTTGCTGTGTCTGTCAGCGTAGTGTCCAGAGCATGGAGGCGCTACCAGGAGACAGGCCAGTACATCAGGAGACGTGGAGGAGGCCGTAGGAGGGCAACAACCCAGCAGCAGGACCGCTACCTCCTACTTTGTGCAAGGAGGAGCAGGAGGAGCACTGCCAGAGCCCTGCAAAATGACCTCCAGCAGGCCATAAATGTGCATGTGTCTGCTCAAACGGTCAGAAACAGACTCCATGAGGGTGGTATGAGGGCCCGACGTCTACAGGTGGGGGTTGTGCTTACAGCCCAACACCGTGCAGGACGTTTGGCATTTGCCAGAGAACACCAAGATTGGCAAATTCGCCACTGGCGCCCTGTGCTCTTCACAGATGAAAGCAGGTTCACACTGAGAACATGTGACAGAGGTGACAGAGTCTGGAGACGCCGTGGAGAACGTTCTGCTGCCTGCAACATCCTCCAGCATGACCGGTTTGGCGGTGGGTCAGTCATGGTGTGGGGTTGGCATTTCTTTGGGGGGGCCGCACAGCCCTCCATGTGCTCGCCAGAGGTAGCCTGACTGCCATTAGGTACCGAGATGAGATCCTCAGACCCCTTGTGAGACCATATGCTGGTGCGGTTGGCCCTGGGTTTCCTCCTAATGCAAGACAATGCTAGACCTCATGTGGCTGGAGTGTGTCAGCAGTTCCTGCAAGAGGAAGGCATTGATGCTATGGACTGGCCCGCCCGTTCCCCAGACCTGAATCCAATTGAGCACATCTGGGACATCATGTCTCGCTCCATCCACCAACGCCACGTTGCACCACAGACTGTCCAGGAGTTGGCGGATGCTTTAGTCCAGGTCTGGGAGGAGATCCCTCAGGAGACCATCCGCCACCTCATCAGGAGCATGCCCAGGCGTTGTAGGGAGGTCATACAGGCACGTGGAGGCCACACACACTACTGAGCCTCATTTTGACTTGTTTTAAGGACATTACATCAAAGTTGGATCAGCCTGTAGTGTGGTTTTCCACTTTAATTTTGAGGGTGACTCCAAATCCAGACCTCCATGGGTTGATACATTTGATTTCCATTGATAATTTTTATGTGATTTTGTTGTCAGCACATTCAACTATGTAAAGAAAAAAGTATTTAATAAGATTATTTCATTCATTCAGATCTAGGATGTGTTATTTTAGTGTTCCCTTTATTTTTTTGAGCAGTGTGTATATATATCTATCAGTTGAAGCCGGAAGTTTACATACACTTAGGTTGGAGTCATTAAAACTAGTTTTTCAACCACTCCACAAATTTCTTGTTAACAAACTATAGTTTTGGCAAGTCGGTTAGGACATCTACTTTGTGCATGACAAGTAATTTTTCCAACAATTGTTTACTGACAGATTATTTCACTTATAATTCACTGTATCACAATTCCAGTGGGTCAGAAGTTTACATACACTAAGTTGACTGTGCCTTTTAAGCAGCTTGGAAAATTCCAGAAAATGATGTCATGGCTTTAGAAGCTTCTGATAGGCTAATTGACATCATTTGAGTCAATTGGAGGTGTACCTGTGGATGTATTTCAAACTCAGTGTGTCTTTGCTTGACATCATGGGAAAATCAAAAGAAATCAGTCAAGACCTCAAAAAATATTGTAGACCTCCACAAGTCTGGTTCATCCTCGGGAGCAATTGCCAAACGCCTGAAGGTACCACGTTCGCCTGTACAAACAATAGTACGCAAGTATGAACACCATGGGACCACGCAGCCGTCATACCGCTCAGGAAGGAGACGCATTCTGTCTCCTAGAGATGAACGTACTTTGGTGTGAGAAGTGCAAATCAATTCCAGAACAACAGCAAAGGACCTTGTGAAGATGCTGGAGAAAACAGGTACAAAATTATCTATATCCACAGTAAAACAAGTCTTATATCTACATAACCTGAAAGGCCGCTCAGCAAGGAAGAAGCCACTGCTCCAAAACTGCCATAAAAAAGCCCAACTACGGTTTGCAACTGCACATGGGGACAAAGATAAGTACTTTTTGGAGAAATGTCCTCTGGTCTGATGGAAACAAAAATAGAACTGTTTGGCCATAATGACCATCGTTATGTTTGGAGGAAAAAGGGGGTTACTTGCAAGCCGAAGAACACCATCCCATCCGTGAAGCACGGGCGTGGCAGCATCATGCTGTGGGGGTGCTTTGCTGCAGGAGGGGACTGGTGCACTTCACAAAATAGATGGCATCATGAGGAAGGAAAATTATGTGGATATATTGAAGCAATATCTCAAGACATCAGTCCAGAAAGTTAAAGCTTGGTCACAAATGGACAATGACCTCAAGCATACTTCCAAAGTTGTGGCAAAATGGCTTAAGGACAACAAAGTCAAGGTATTGGAGTGGCCATCACAAAGCCCTGACCTCAATCCTATAGAACATTTGTGGGCAGAACTGAAAAAGCGTGTGCGAGCAAGGAGGCTTATGAACCTGACTCAGTTACACCAGTTCGGTCAGGAGGAATGGGCCAAAATTCACCCAACTTATTGTAGGAAGCTTGTGGAAGGCTACTTGAAACGTTTGACCCAAGTTAAACAATTTAAAGGCAATGCTACCAAATACTAATTGAGTGTATGTAAACTTCTGACCCACTGGGAATGTGATGAAAGAAATAAAAGCTGAAATAAATAATTCTCTCTACTATTATTCTGACATTTCACATTCTTAAAATAAAGTGGTGATCCTAACTGACCTAAGACAGGGAATATTGACTAGGATTAAGTGTCAGGAATTGTGAAAAACAGAGTTTAAATGTATTTGGCTAAGGTGTATGTAAACTTCCGACTTCAACTGTGTGTGTGTGTGGGTGGTGTGGTATGATAATACTTGATATTTGATAAGAATGAGATAATATAGTACAGTGAGTAGATATAGCACGAAGTATAGTAATATATTACCAAAGAGTATATATAAAGCCATATAAGAGATATAGATATATGATTTATATACAAACACACACACACCACACACACACCACACACCACACACCACCACACACACACACACACACACAGTGGGGAAAAAAAGTATTTAGTCAGCCACCAATTGTGCAAGTTCTTCCACTTAAAAGATGAGAGGCCTGTAATTTTCATCATAGGTACACGTCAACTATGACAGACAAATTTGAGGGAAAAAAATCCAGAAAATCACATTGTAGGATTTTTTATGAATTTATTTGCTAATTATGGTGGAAAATAAGTATTTGGTCACCTACAAACAAGCAAGATTTCTGGCTCTCACAGACCTGTAACTTCTTCTTTAAGAGGCTCCTCTGTCCTCCACTCGTTACCTGTATTAATGGCACCTGTTTGAACTTGTTATCAGTATAAAAGACACCTGTCCACAACCTCAAACAGTCACACTCCAAACTCCACTATGGCCAAGACCAAAGAGCTGTCAAAGGACACCAGAAACAAAATTGTAGACCTGCACCAGGCTGGGAAGACTGAATCTGCAATAGGTAAGCAGCTTGGTTTTGAAGAAATCAACTGTGGGAGCAATTATTAGGAAATAGAAGACATACAAGACCACTGATAATCTCCCTCGATATGGGGCTCCACGCAAGATCTCACCCCGTGGGGTCAAAATGATCACAAGAACGGTGAGCAAAAATCCCAGAACCACACGGGGGGACCTAGTGAATGACCTGCAGAGAGCTGGGACCAAAGTAACAAAGCCTACCATCAGTAACACACTACGCCGCCAGGGACTCAAATCCTGCAGTGCCAGACGTGTCCCCCTGCTTAAGCCAGTACATGTCCAGACCCGTCTGAAGTTTGCTAGAGTGAAGTCAGAAAACGTTTGACCTGTGTCATTGCCAACAAAAGGTATATAACAAAGTATTGAGAAACTTTTGTTATTGACCAAATACTTATTTTCCACCATAATTTGCAAATAAATTCATTTAAAATCCTACAATGTGATTTTCTGGATTTTTTTCCCTCAATTTGTCTGTCATATTTGACGTGTACCTATGATGAAAATAACAGGCCTCTCTCATCTTTTTAAGTGGGAGAACTTGCACAATTGGTGGCTGACTAAATACTCCCCCCCCCCCCACTGTACATACATACATACATACGTACATACATACAGGCTTTGACTGTACTTTTATAGTATACTGTATAACACCTACTGTAACATTCATATACCGTACTCACTGCCAGATTGGTTTGCGTCTAAAATGTTCCAGTGTTACCTGTTTGTTGTTGACAGCTGGTTCTGGAGTTGTGTCGCTCTGATTGTTCAGCCGACCCAGAGACCATCCAGCCACACCTGAGCAGGATGAGGACCTGCGTCATCACTCATAGAGAAAAGGAGGTGAGTGCCACTCAGTGACTGATCAAGACTTGTAACTGCTGGCTAGGTTCATTTACTAACTGTTATGTATACTTGCTGTAGATAGATACAGAGGTGGAGGCATCAGAATCAAACTTCTTGGAACTCATCCAAACTATTCTAGATGACCCAATTGAGAGGGAACACTTCTTCCAGGTTGGTGTGAGAACAATAAATAAATAAAACAATTTAAAGTCAGAGGAAAACTGAACAGCAGTGTGTGCGCAATCTGTTCCACATCTTATTCCATTGAAATCCTCGTTACTGGCTTACTCTACTGCTAAACCTCAACTTGCATTAGCTAATATTGAGTTGACTTGTATAACTACTAATGATGTCAATAGGATGCCTCACACTCAATTAAGAATGCATTCATTTAATCTGTTATACACCGCTCAGATGCACTTGAATGTGTCTTCTAGGACATTTTTCCAGAAGAATTTGGACCCATGTATGACACAGCACTGCAGACTCTGATGTGGGAGTTCCTCTTCAGGCTGGAGAAGATCCTTCCAACACCAACATTTCAACAGGTAGGTGCAATTTGGGAAGAGCCAATAGTGGCAGCCTTGGCCGATTTCAGTTGATGTTGTTATATTGCTGAGTCTACCATACCTTACTGTTGTCATTTGGTCAATTTAATTTGTTGCACATTTTAAACCACCTCCCCTTCACAGACTGCATCATGGCTCAGACCTGCCCCCTCTGTGCTGAAGGAGTGTGCACAGTCTGTGACTCAACCTCAGCCTTTGAAGACTCTTCTCCAGCACAACAGATGCCATGACCATTCGTTCACTAATGGTAGGCTTTTTGTTGAAAATTTTCCAGCTCTGTTTTCATACAGTGGCAAATATAAGTTTTATTACATTTTAAATCAACTACCTGCAAGAGACTGAGGCCTGCTACACTGGGTGTGACATTTTGCAGAGACGCTCCCATTGTTTGAAAGGAAACTTGGGTGTAAGCAGCAAGGGCTCTGGGTGAATTTATGGTTTGTTTCTATTTTCAAGATATCGATTTGGTAAACATCTGAGGGATGGGGTTGGAAAAATGTAACCACTCTCATATTCATAGACGAAGCTATGGATACAAGGACTGACCATCCATACCAAAATTATAGTTTTAACCATGTTTTGAGGCTATAAAATGTTTGTTTGCAAGTATGTTTACAAAAGATGGAGTTAAACTTATATTTTCATTTTTGATTGGGTACGACAGTTGAACTCAGATCATGAGGCATTTATAAGTTATATTCTTCAAGAATCAATGAGTGTATATATAATTCAAATCCAAAAATGTATGTGGCAATCACAGGCAGACTAAATATTTGATTATTCTCTTTTTTTTTATTTTTATGTCTCAGCTCATTCATCTTGTGCCGATGATCGCATCCTCTCTTCACTGTCTCACACGCTCTCAGAGAGGATAGACATGGACATTGATGAAGCACACTCACATAGCCGGTCTTTATCCACATGTGCATCCAGAAATGAAAGGGACAATTTGATAGAGCAAGATAATGTAGAGAAGGAGCGGGGGATGAGTTTGGACACGGTTAGGAAGGCAGTGGAAATGAAGGATGGAAGGACAGAGGAATGGGGAGAGAACAACTATGAGGAGAGACTGCAACATGAGTTGGCTTATGATGTTTTAAAGGTAGAGATTGTAGATGGAGAAGACATGTCCTCAACATCATCGATGACAGCAGACGACGTCGGATGGACCTGCTGGACACCCGAGGAGACAAAGGCACTGATCTCTGTATGGTCAGATGAACAGATTCTTCAGAAGATGGAGCAAAGCTATAGAAAAAAACATGTCTACAGTGAAATTTCCGAGTGTTTAAAGGAGCTTGGTGTCAAAAAGACGACCAAGCAGTGCCACAACAAGATAAAGGCATTAAAGTGGCGATACAGAGAAACACTGAGGAACCCAAGTAGCCGACCGTGCCCGTTCTTTTCTAAACTGCACAAATTTCTTGCCGCGGTGCCTGATATGCCTGGGTCCAAGGAAACTGGCAAGGTTTCAGATGGAGAAATCATGTCTTTGGATCAGGAGAAAGGGTCTTCTGTGGATGTCGAGTTGGAGCCACAACATGAGAAAATGGTTTCCAGAAAAGTGAAAGACAAGACAATCCCCAGAGAGCAAACAAAAGAGAGAAAGGAAGATGAAGCATTTTGCAGCCCTCAAAGTGACAGCAAGATGAAAATTCCCCCCAAAAAACATTGTCGCAAACAGATGGTTGAAGACATGTCCTCAACAACATCGGCAGACAATGACACACGGACCTGGACCCTGGAGGGGACGAAAGCACTGATCTCTGTATGGTCAAACAAACAGGTTCTTCAGATGATGGAGCAAAGTTACAGAAAAAAACATGCATACAGTGAAGTTTCAGAGCGGCTAAAGAACCTTGGTATCAAAAAGACGTGGAAGCAGTGCCAATCAAAGATTAAGCACATGAAGCACAGCTACAGACAAGCACTGAGGAACCCAAGCAGTAGTGGCCGAGCAACCTGTCCATTATTTTCTGAACTGCACAAATTTCTTGCCAACATGCCTGATATGCCTGATTCCAAGGAAACTGGCAAGGTTTCAGATGGAGAAGTAATGTCTTCGGATCAGGATGAAGGGCCTTCTGTGGATGTCAAGTTGGAGCATCTACATGAGAAAATGGATTCTAGAAAAGTGAAACTCAAGACACTCCCCGGAGAGCAAACCGAAGAGAGAAAGGAGGATGAAAGTGACAGCAGAATGAATATCGGAAGAAAACAACAGGTGGTTGAAGATGTGTCTGATTTAGAACTTCAGCCTGTAGTGCTGCTGACCCAACTTGATGACAACGGTCTTATGACAGGTGGGTAAAACATTTTTTTTTAAACAATTTAGTTTTGACATGGAATAATTCATTCCAAGGTTTAGGTTAGTGGTGTGTGTAGAAAATGTATTCCATGGCTCAAGTTAGGGGTGAGAGTGACATCTGTATTATCTGTATCCTTTAACAATGGTACTTCTCTCTTTCAACACCAGATGGTGCTCCTCGTCTCGTTTCCCATACCACAGAGCAGTCTCTTAAACGAAGCAAACGTGCCAAAATATGCTCCTTATGTGGGAAGATTTTTGTTGAAGCAAAGGATTTGACAACACACATGAGAACTCACACTGAGCACAGCCCTCACCAGTGCACCAAGTGTGGGGAAGGCTTTGACCATCAGGACGACTTACAAAAACATCAGCAGAATGAGTGTGAGGAGATGATGAGCCAACAGGAGGTCAATGAACACCAGCATGGAAAGAAGGACAGGATCTCAGGACAGTCCAGTAATGCAAGTAGTGATCCCAAAACATGCCATCTATGCCATAAGACTTTTGAATTTCAATATATGTTGAGAAGGCATCTTATTATATTTCACAAAGGCAAAATACCTTTTAAGTGTCCTCTTTGTCTGAAGGGTTTTGCCTTCCTCTGTGATTTGAAGAAACACCGGAGTAACAAAAGAGGTTGTCCTACAAGTGAAGCCTTCAAAAAAAGGAGGGAGTTAAGGTCAAAAAACCCTTCTGCTCGCATCATTCCAGGACTTTCCTTAAATACAAATAATTCCAAAACATGCCCTGTATGCCATGCAACTTTTTCACAAACGTCTAGTTTGAAAAGCCACTATCTTCACCATCACGCCCCAAAAAAAAGCCGCTTTAATTGTCCTAGTTGTTTGAAGGCTTTTGTATCCCACAGTCAAATGAAGAGACACCAGCAGAACAAAAGAGGTTGTCGGTTAGAGAGAGATTACAAAAATGGGAGTAAGCCAGCATGGTCACTGGCTCCAAGGGAAAATATAAATGAGATTCCTCAGCCTTCCAGTACAGCAACCCAGGAACCACCAACCTCTCAAGCTCCCACCACTACAGCACAGTCCTCTAATAAAAAGACTATTCCCAAAGCATGTCCACTATGCCATAAGTCTTTTAAATTTGAAGCTACAATGGTAAGGCACATTGCATCTCACCAAAAGGAAAGTCTCAACAAGTGCCCTGACATATTGAAGTGCACCTTTTGTGAAGAGATCTTTTCTCAGGGCATGGACCTGAAGAGCCACTACAGTCGTACTCATCAATTTACGGGACCGTTCCCCTGTCCTTCTTGTCTTAAGACTTTTGTTTCGTTAACTGAGCTGCGCTTACATCAGAGAAATGAGTCCACTCCTTACCAGTGTTCTGTGTGCCAGAGATTATTCAGAACGCAGTATACCCTGACTATTCATGAGCGAATTCACACAGGGGAGAAACCATTCCTCTGCGCTGAGTGTGGAAAGGGTTTCCGGAGTGAAAAGCTACTGCAATCACACTCAAAGAGTCATGTTGAGGGAAAACCCCACGCTTGCTCCACTTGTGGGAAAAGGTTCCAGAGAAAAGAGCTATTGAAACAACACATGTTACATCACACAGATGCTGCTTTCATCTGCCCAGACTGTGGGAAGAAGTTCTTTCAGTTGGTGTGGTTAAGAAGGCATATGTTAATGCACACTGGCGAGAGACCGTTCCTCTGTGACCTCTGTGGGAAGGGTTTCAAATCTACAGCTGAATTGAGGATACACACTCGGACACACACGGGAGAACGGCCATTCAAGTGCCCAGAATGTGGCAAAGGTTGTAGGCAGAAGAGTGAGCTGCAGGAGCATCTGCGGAGGCACACAGGGGAGCGGCCGTATCCATGCACAGTGTGTGATAAACGCTTTTATGTCAGCAAAGACAGAAAACGACATATGCTCATCCATACTGGAGAGAAGCCGTTCAAATGTCAAACATGTGGCATGGCTTTCAACCGTAGAGCACTTTTGAGGGTACATCAAAAAAACAAGTCGTGTTTATATAGCCACACAAGTACCCTACATTACACTCCCCTACATTACACATCATTGTAATGTTGGGGATTTGTGTGCCGTGATTAGTGTTAATTACTTAGAAAAGTAGTCTATTACTTGTTACATTTAAGAGAACTAATATCGGCAAGTTACAATATTGTGTTGCATGTAAAGTAATATATAACATATTACTCGTTATGAGATTTTTTTTACGCTGTCCATTCAGCACCATGGAGCTCCGGCCTAAAGGTTTACCTGTATCAGATGAGCAAAGCCACACCGAGGTGCTATCCTAGGTGCTGAATCCTTCATTCACAATTACAATTGATAGCCTAATATTGTCAATTTAATCTGGTCTTTAGGCTGCATCTATTATTATATGTGTGAAATTATTTTCAATATAGTTTAGGTGTAGTTTCGATTGGCCGTTAGTCAACTGTGAGTGTGTTTTGTATTTGTATTTATTAGAGATCCCCATTAGCTGCTGCCAAGGCAGCAGCTACTCTTCCTGGGGTCCAAACACATTAAAGCACTTACATATAAAGCAAAATATAAAACAGTACATCATACGACATTATTACACCACTACCTATCTACAATACAAAATGTTTAATACCACCATATCACAATGTGTGCGTATGCATGTGTCTATACCCTTGTGTGTGTCTCTTCACAGTGTTAAATAGACTTATTTAGGAAAAGTCAAGGACGGAGGGGGTATGACTTTATTACAATGTATTTTGTGTAGGGTTTATATGACATTCACGTTCAGCAGTTTAATGCGCAGGTTATTTTAATTTTGAAGTCATCATTGTTATGACTTGATAGCCTGTATTTAGTGGCTTTAATGTATATTTTGTTTCCTAAATCTGCCTAAATGTTTATGGACTATAGGCCTAGGCCTATTCCTTTGTGTATCAAGATATACTTTTGTTTTGATCAAACATTGCATTTATCAGACATTTTTATTGTTTGTATGGAAATTTCGTAAGAACACTTGGAAATATTGTTTAGGCATATGCATCTTTGTTTATTATCATAATGCCTATAGATTTCTCCTTTCACGCGTTTCTGGATCTTTGGCTACCAGCTTTGTGCCTTTGTGCATGACCTCCAGATGCTATGTCAGGTTTGATGTGGTGTTTCTGGATGAAGAGATCAATGCTTGCTGCCTGTGCAGAGTTTGCATTTGACTAAAACGTTCTCTTCGATTAACTCAAAATAATGGGAGTATTTCCACAAGGAAAAGGAAAAGCATGGTAACAACACAGCTGCCATCTTTCTTTGATTTTCGGCTTTACGATATCCTAGGAAACGAGTTAGCCTAGCTACAGAATTAATTCCGTTAGGCTTAAAAAATATACACTACCGTTCAAAAGTTTGGGGTCACCTAGAAATGTCCTTGTTTTTGAAAGAAAAGCATTTTGTTTGTCCATTAAAATAACACCAAATTGATCAGAAATACAGTGTAGACATTGTTAATGTTGTAAGTGGCTATTGTAGCTGGAAACGGCTGATTTTTAATGGAATATCTACATAGGTGTACAGAGGCCCATTATCAGCAACCATCAGTCCTGTGTTCCAATGGCACATTGTGTTTGCTAATCCAAGTTTATCATTTTAAAAGGCTAATTGATCATTAGAAAACCCTTTTGCAATTGTTAGCACAGTTGAAAACTGTTGTGCTGATTAAAGAAGCAGTAAAACTGGCCTTGAGACTAGTTGAGTATCTGGAGCGTCAGCAATTGTGGGTTCGATTACAGGCTCAAAATGGCAAGAAACAAAGAACTTACTTCTGAAACTCGTCAGTCTATTCTTGTTCTGAGAAATGAAGGCTATTCCATGTGAGAAATTGCCAAGAAACTGAAGATCTCGTACAACGCTGTGTACTACTCCCTTCACAGAACAGCGCAAACTGGCTCTAACCAGAATAGAAAGAGGAGTTGGAGGCCCCGGTGCACAACTGAGCAAGAGGACAAATACATTAGAGTGTCTAGTTTGAGAAACAGGCGCCTCACAGGTCCTCAACTGGCAGCTTCATTAAATAGTACCCGCAAAACACCAGTCTCAACGTCAACAGTGAAGAGTTGCAATGAAAAAGCCATATCTCAGACTGCCCATCTCAATCTTTTCTTTTTATTGGCCAAACTGAGAAATTGCTTTTTCTTCGCAACTCTGCCTAGAAGGTCAGCATCCTGGAGTCACTTCTTCACTGTTGACGTTGAGACTGATGTTTTGTGGGTACTATTTCATGAAGCTGCCTGTGAGGGGGTAGTGTATATACACAGAGAATACCAAACATTAGGAACACCTTCCTAATATTGAGTTGCACCCCCCCTTTTACCCTCAGAACTTTAATTCATTGGGGCATGGACTACAAGATGTCGAAAGCATTGCACAGGTGTGCTGGCCCATGTTGACTCCAATATTTATCACAGTTGTGTCTAGTTGGCTGGATGTCCTTTGGGTGGTGAATGCACACGGGAAACTGTTGAGGGTGAAAAACCCAGCAGCGTTGCAGTTCTTGACACAAACCGGTGCACCTGGCACCTACTATCATACCCCGTTCAAAGGCACTTAAATATTTTGTCTTGCCCAATCACCCTCTGAATGGCACAGATACACAATCCATGTCTCAATTGTCTCCAGGCTCAAAAATCCTTCTTTAACCTGTCTCCTCCCCTTCATCTACGCTGATTGAAGTGGATTTATCAAGTGACATCAATAATGGGATCATAGTGTTCACCTGGTCAGACTATTTCATGGAAAGAGCAGGTGTTCTTAATGTTTTGTACACTCTGTATATAACACGCTGAGAGATTATGAAAGTAACGGACTCGTTACTTGAAAAAGTAACTAATATTACAATTTTTGAAGACTAACTCGTTACTTTACTCTGTTACTCATAAAAGTAATATATTACTGTAACGCATTACCCCCAACACCGGCCTTGATGAGCATTAGCTTGATGTTTTTATAGCATTAATGTCTTTATTTAAGGTATTATTATTATTATTCCATGAGAAGTCACTGTGCCAGGTGTTGAAAGGGTTTCCTGACTGGGACAGAACTGGGCCTGCACCTTTAAGCCACCCTCTGTAAGATGTACATACCATCAAATAATAATATAATGCTATGAAAAATCGTAGGTATATTGTACAAATAAAATACAAAATGTGTGACTGGCATCACAGTTTATTTTATGTTGGTTTTGGAATAAGGGGGATTAGAAATTATGCAAACAATTAAATTGATGGAATTGGAATACTAGAATGGGCATGAATTTTATGATGGTCCAAAGGTCAGCCATGTTGGTCAGGGAGTTGGTCAACCATGGTTTGCCTGTGCTATGATAATATATTGTGTAAAACAATGAATGTGAAGAATGTATCTGCACTGTTAGCCAGCCAGTTTTAGAGGGATGATTCCATTAATTTATTTAACTGCCAACATTCCATTCAAACTATTCAGTCAATCCACAGCCATACACTGGCTCAAATCAGTTGATGATATTGTATCATATACAAGCACTCTCAGCTTTCCAAGAAAACAAAATCAGACATTTATGGTCTGTTTTCATATATTTTAGAGGCTATTTATACAGAAAGTGTATAAAACCTGTATAAACTGTATTTATAATTATGATATTTTAGGTTAACTATAATTCCATTACACAATTTCTGATACATCACATGCCTTACTTTTATTTTCCTGCATAAGTAAAAGCAGGAAATGCATCACCTATGCCTCTACTGCCGTTAATTCCAGTTAGACTGGTTTGGATTTCTCCCTGACCAAGATGACTTCCATTTTGGCCCCATTATGGAACTTTGAGGGATTATGACAGCTCCTCTAGCAATATAATATGATCTCTATGGATAGAATCCACAATCTATCTGCAATATTAAAGATGATCTGCTTATTTGTGGATTTTGATGTGTGCTTGGGGTTACTCTTGCTTGTCTTGCTGGAAGAACCACTTGTTGCCAAGTTTCAGCCTCCTAGAAGAGGCAACCAGGTTTAGGGGTAAAATTACCTGTTATTGGTTGAAGTTAATGATGCCGTTGAAGTTTTTATCAAAAACGACGGATTTCACCACACACAAAAAAGCTTGCAGTTACATAGGACAAACATTGGTACGTGGTATGCATGAAATAATTGATTTTTTTTTTTACAAGTATCGACTAGTCGATGTAGTGGCGGTACAATCTTGTGGGCGCATCATGCTAGAACCCTGTATAAAACATCTAAAGTAAGTGACGCCTGGCTTGCTAGCAGAAACAATGTTGCAAACGATTACAGCGTGGCTACACTACCTACTGGTAGAATATAGTCAGTTTATGATTCTGTAACCTTTTTCGTCCGATTCCGAACGTGAAGACGATTGTCTAGACACAAAAAGCCCTTTCCCAAACTGTAAGCATGATGCATGGGCATGGTGTAGTGTTCTCCCAGGGAGGGGCCTTCGCCCGCCATTCAGATAGATCAGTCCTGGGAGAGATCCTTTGGTGCCACCTAGTGGCATAATGGTGAATGCCTATGAGGCAAAGTTGGCTAGGCGATAAAAAGCTTTGCAATTGATTTAGGCAGGCTACCAAATTTGACACTGCTGCGCCACCTATTTCTCTCTGGAGTTGTGCCTTTGCTCTCCATAATAGACCCAACCGGTCACCAGGTTCTTCTAGAAGAATAAACACATCTTGAAAAAATAAATACATATTGTCTTTATTAGAATAAGCAAAAGCATATGGTAAGCAAATAAACATTATTTTGTATAATTTAATCACACAATTTAGCAGCTATTACTAAAAATATTCCATCAAGATAGACACAATAGCCCTACTATTTATGTCAATTACCGGGCTACTCATTAAAATATTAGCAACAAATATTTTATTTGAGATATGGCAATCAGTTTGTTTGTCTGTCTATTATGTATATGTTTAAATGTATTTGCCTTACTGCAGTAAGACAAGGGTGCCCACAAGGTCTATTTAAAGTGTTATTTAAATCAAATAAAATAAAAAATCCTGTTGTGCATTTGTTTTCATGTGTAGCCTACTGCCCATTACGAAACTAAAATGGTGCCACAAAGTGTGAATCTAGAGGCACACATTGTTCGGCCATGCATAAAGTCCACTAAAGTAAACTGGGTGAACTATATTATTTCCCTCTGTTTTACATTTACCTACATGTGGGAGTGTTTAGTCATAAACCTACATGTGGGAGTGTTTAGTTTTCGCTTTGCATTAAGTACAGTGTAGTCAAAAAGTGGAACTCAATCATTTCTCATTTCCTTTTTACAGTGAGATTAGATTGGGGGGAGGTATACAGGTCTTAATGGAGAGAAAAATACAACTATAATACCAAACTCTACCTTTATGGTAGAGTGAACAGATGGCAGAGCCACTCCTCAGTAAAAGGCACATGACAGCCCCCTAAAGACTCTCAGAACATGAAACAAGATTCTCTGGTCTGATGAAACCAAGATTGAACTCTTTGGCCTGAATGCCAAGCGTCACGTCTGGAGGAAACCTGGCACCATCCCTACAGTGAAGCATGGTGGTGGCAGCATCATGCTGTGGGGATGTTTTTCAGCGGCAAGGACTGGAAGACTAGTCAGGAGAGGCAAAGATGAACGGAGCAAAGTACAGAGAGATCCTTGATGAAAACCTGCTCCAGAGCGTTCAGGACCTCAGACTGGGGAGAAGGTTCACCTTCCAACAGGACAACGACCCTAAGCACACAGCCAAGACAACGCAGGAGTGGCATCGGGACAAGTCTCTGAATGTCCTTGAGTGGCCCAGACAGAGCCAGGACTTGAACCCGATCGAATATCTCTGGAGAGACATGAAAATAGCTGTGCAGCAACGCTCCCCATCCAACCTGACAGAGCTTGAGAGGATCTGCAGAGAAGAATGGGAGAAACCCCACAAATACAGGTGTGCCAAGCTTGTAGCGTCATACCCAAGAAGACTCGAGGCTGTAATCGCTGCCAAAGGTGCTTCAACAAAGTACTGAGTAAATGGTCTGAATACTTATGTAAATGTGATATTTCAGCAAAAAATTATAAAAACCAGTTTTTGCTTTGTCATTATGGGGTATTGTGTAGATTGATGAGGGGGGGAAAAAACAATTTAATCAATTTTAGAATAAGGCTGTAACGTAACAAAATGTGGAAAAGTCAAGGGGTCTGAATACACTTACAAATGGGGGGTGCATAGAGGCAAAAAAGAGAGTTGGAGAGAGCGCCAACAATAGAATAGATACTTTATTGTCCATTTTACAACAGAAGTCGATCAATTTGCTGTCACAATACCAAACCTTACACCCACCCACAATGTCCGGAGCAGCACAGCGTCAGCCACAAAGCAGCGCCGCCAGAGCAATTGTAGGGGTTAAGTACCTCGCTCAAGGACACAACGGCAGAGAACGACCGTGAGGAAAGAAGAGGGAGAGGCACTGCGCCAACGTCTACACGTGCATGGTGGTTATGGATGGAAGGCATCGGTAAGAAGAGAGGGATGAAGGAGAGGAGGAGGAAAGGGAAGGCAGGATTCACACTCGTGGATTTGGCTTCATTCTGGTATCTGGTCTTGCGCTTGTTGTCCGTCCCAGAAGAGACCAGCTCAGTAATAGAAATACACTGCAAGGGAGAAGATGAGAAAGATCAAGTAAGTATCTGAGTAAACGGTTGTTTCCTACTTTGGACATCAGACTACTACAGGCTACAGCGATACAAAAATGCATGTGCATGTGTTTCACAAAACATTCTTTTTTTCTTCATGTTTTGTGTGAGAATCGAGTGAAGCGGACTTTCTAAGTGAAAATGTCGATATATATGGTACTTACAGAAGACAACGCCAACACATATGACTCCTATGATAGCCATTATGATCATCATCTGAAAAGACAATATAAAACCTTCAAATATATAAAACCACTTCTATATTATCTCGAACACTTTTCAATATTAAACACATTTAATAGCACATTATTGTTTATTATTTTTAATCTGGAGAGAGCTGAATCTAAAATCCATTCAATTTTACTCTCATCGTGATAGCTGTAACCTTGCTCTTTACATATATACTGAACAAAAATATAAACGCAACGTGAAGTGTTGGCCCCATGTTTAATGAGCTGAAATAAAAGATCCCAGAAATGTTCCATAGGCACAAAAACCCTGTTAGTGAGCATTTCTCCTTTGCCAAGATCATCCATCCAACTGACAGGTGTGGCATATCAAGAAGCTGATTAAACAGCATCAGCATTACACAGGTGCACCTTGTGCTGGGGACAATAAAAGGCCACTAAAATGTGTAGTTTTGTCACACAACACAATGTCACAGATGTCTCAAGTTTTGAGGGAGCTGATTGCAGGAATGTCCACCAGAGCTGTTGCTAGAGAATTTAATGTTCATTTCTCTACCATAAGCTGCCTCCAATGTCGTTTTATAGAATTTGGCAGTACGTCCAACCGGCCTTATAACCGCAGATCATGTGTAACCACGCTAGCCAAGGACCGCCACATCCGGCTTCTTCACCCGCGGGATCGTCTGAGACCAGCCACCCGGACAGCTGATGAAACTGTGGGTTTGCACAACCAAAGAATTTCTGCACAAACTGTCAGAAACCATCTCAAAGAAGCTCATCTGCATACTCATTGTCCTCACCAGGGTCTTGACCTGACTGCAGTTTGGTGTCGTAACCGAGTTTAGTGGGCAAATGCTCACCTTCGATGGCCACTGGCACGCTGGAGAAGTGTGCTCTTCACAGATGAATCCCAGTTTCAACTGTACCGATGGCAGCGTGTATGGAGTTGTGTGGGCGAGCCGTTTACTGATGTCAACGCTGTGAACAGAGTGCCCCATGGTGGCAGTGGGGTTATGGTATGGGCAGGAATAAGCTACGGACAACGAACACAATTGTATTTTATCGACGAGATCCTGAGGCCCATTGCCGTGCCTTTCATCCGCCGCCATCAACTCATGTTTCAGCATGATAATGCACAGCCCCATGTCGCAAGGATCTGCACACAGTTCCTGGAAGCTGAAAATGTCCCAGTTCTTCCATGGTCTGCATACTCATCAGACATCATTGAGCATGTTTGGGATGCTCTGGATCGACGTGTACGACAGCGTGTTCCAGTTCCCGCCAATATCCAGCAACTTTACACAGCCATTCCACAGGCCACAATCAACAGCCTGATCAACTCTATGCAAAGGAAATGTGTCACGCTGCATGAGGCAAATGGTGGTCACACCAGATACTGACTGACTGGTTTTCTGATCTACACCCCTACCTTTTTTAAGGTATCTGTGACCAACAGATGCATATCTGTATTCCCAGTCATGTGAAACCATAGATTAGATTATTTCAATTGACTGATTTCCTTATATGAACTGTAACTCAGTAAAATCTTTGAAATTGTTGCATGTTCGTTTATATTTCTGTTCAGTGTATATTGCTTGCTGTTGCTTCTCTCTCTCTCCCATCGTTATTAACAATGTACAGTAGATCAGAAAACGATCATAAACAGATCAAACTGTTGTGCGTCACATAGGCCAGGATTCAATCCAAGGCGTGCGTGTTATACAGCAGCGCACTGGAAAGCCGACAATGCACCTTTTTTAAAGGCAATTTCCCCAATATGTCGTTTCAAGCGTAAATTACCTTCAAAAGTCTGATCTATAACGCCCTTTGGATTGAATCCCGGCCATAGTATAAACAAATAGCACTAATGTGATATTGCTGCGGTACGTCACGTGGATTATGCAAACATGACTATGATACTACTACAAGCCAATGGCCTAACCAGGCACACCTGTGTGATGTGGTTTTTCCTGTATGGCAAATAATTATTCAATTTCAGAGAGAGAGGTTAGCCGTGATGAATATAATATTAGAGCCGGCTCTGTAGAGCATAAGAGGGGGGGGGGGGGGGGGGGGGGAGGACAAATCAACTATGGGGGCTGGATGACTGAGATTAGGAGAGAAACAAGGAGAGAGAGGGAGAGAGAGATGGAGAGAGTGAGGAAGGGAGGGTTAAGAGGGAGAGAAAGTGCATGACAGGAAGAGAGGAATAGAGGAAGCATTAGAGTGAGAGGGAGAGAGGGATGATCTGTAGGAGTTACATCAGGAGTCGAGCCACAGCTGGGTTTTTAATCCTGCATCACACAGTAATCCAGATTGGGATTTATAACCCCTCCCCCTTCTCAATGGACACACATGATTGGACAGGCAACGGGACAGCCATCTGTGCTCAAAAGCAGAGAAGGGAGAGGGGGAGGGGGTTGGTTGAGGGTTTATAAATTCATGCTGTGAGAACTGGATTGAAGGATAGAAGGATCGAAATGTTTTACAAGGGTTCTATTCAATCCATATCGCGGAAGTTCAGTGTTACAGCGTGATTGAAGTGTAAAGGCGATGTTCCTGCGTTAGTGGCTGCATTCACAATAAAAAACGTTGCATATGTCGGCTCAATCGGAAATTACCTTTACATTTCTATTGCGCAATCTGTAACACTTCAGCGATCCAGATTGAATAGAGCCCTAAGTGAGGTCACAGGAGAACGGAGCAAACAAAGGGCTAAGATGGTAGGTGGAAGTACGAAGAGTCACAGACTGGCAGGATTTGCACTTTTGGGAATGTTGTGTTGGTTCCAGGTAAACTCAATCAAGCATAGCTAAAGTGAAGGATTTCAAATACTATATGAACCCAGGTCTGATATGTTGGAGAGAGTTCTTCCTCTCTGTACAGGGACATCATTTGTATAAAATGTCTGAGCACTGTGGAAATACCCCAACACCTTGTCATGATATACAGCTAGTGTGTGACTGCCATGGGATGGTAGCCTGCACTATGGAAGCCTAAAACAGTAAACTAAGTTTATAATTAAAGAGTGACCTATGTGAAGGTTGTTTTTCAAATGACTCCTGCTTGTGTGAAGAGTTGCCTGAGAACTGAAGACTTGCGTTAGCCCCCTGAGCTAATGCCTAGGCTTTTACTCAGAGGGCTAACACAGACCTGTGGCATGTAGGAGAACTGGGTTTGAACCCAGTCGGTCACATACACATGCGCAAGCACACACACACACACACACACACACACAAACCTTGAGGTTTTTCCACCAGTATTTGTTCTTCAGCTTGGCAGCGCTGCTCTCAAACTGTGAGGCCCCAGCCTGCAGAGCGTCAGCCCTGTCGTCCAGCTCCGACAGTCTCTGATCCCTCTCCAACACCTTGTCCACGTTCACACGCATGATGTCTACTACCTGTAGGGGACAGGAGTGGAATGGAGAGGACAGTCAGCATTGTATTCTTGTTCATGAAGAAACCTACAGGTAACTGCCAAAATAAAGGAAACATTTAACATTTTAGTCATTTAGCAGACGCTCTTATCCAGAGCGACTTACAGTTAGTGAGTGCATACATTTTCATACTGGAAACACCAACATAAAATGTCTTAATAGGGCGTTGGGCCACCACGAGCCAGAACAGATTCAGTACACCTTGGCATAGATTCTACAAGTGTCTGGAACTCTATTGGAGGGATGCGACACCATTTTTCCAAGATAAATTCCATCATTTGGTGTTTTGTTGATGGAAAACACTGTCTCAGATGCTGCTCCAGAATCTTCCATAAGTGTTCAATTCTCTGAGTCTTACCTCGTCCACCTGTGCCTGCGTCTGCTGTAGTCGTCGGTTACTGGTGAGGTTGGGGGCTGGGGCCGGGGGCCCCCCTTCTCCCTCAGGGGCTCCCGGGGTTCCTGCATCTGTGGTCGACCTGTGTAGAGAGAGGCATTTACTTACTAACAACAACAACTGCCAAAACTCCACCAAAACTGGCAAGGAAAATGAATGATAAATGTATTTTCTGTTTTTTTGCTTTGTAAATGTATTATTTGTGTATCTGTTTGAAATGTTACTGCATTGTCAGGAGCTAGTAACATAAGCATTTCCCTGCACCTGCATTTACTTTGATTTGATTTGATTTGAGCTTGCTAAGCCATACAGTATAGTAAGTAGGCTATACTAGCATTGGCGTCTAAGTGAAGAATAACTTAACTGCTGAAGCAGGCCTCTTCAAACACTAAGGATTAATAAGCACACAGACTGAATGAATACGAAATATATCGGCTATGGTAGAAAATGACACATGTGATGTTTAAACTACAAAAGCATATCGTAGAAGCCTGTTCTCTCATCATGTCTGAGCCACATCCTGACCAAACAACCACTCTGGTTTGATTTGGTACAGAGCCTGTATTAGACAGGCTTGATTTCCACTGGCAAAATGGAGAGAGATTAGTGGGAAAAAGCCATGGAAGCTGCTCTTAACAAAGATGGATGCATTTTGCTCCAGATAAACAAGCCAGGCAAGGTGCTGTTCGCTAATGACTGAGTAGATAACAAAAAAAAACTATACAAAATATGATTTTTAAATACTACAACAGATAACTTCATAAAAGCCAATATGAAGATGAGCACAATGATGAATATTGACTGAGTCATTGTGAATAAGTCATTCTACTATTGATATGGTGAGACTGAGATATACATTCACATTTACATTTACGTCATTTAGCAGACGCTCTTATCCAGAGCGACTTACAAATAGATATAGCCTAATATTAATTTGTAATAGGCCTACTTTCTGTGATATATTTTACGTTTGGGTAGACTATTCGAATACTAAAATGAATATTTAAAAGCAACTAACTATTTCAACATATTTTTAGTTTAGCAGGAAAACAATCCATAGTTGCAATTAGTTGACATCGCTAAAACAATACACTTGCTCTAACATCATTAAATAAGTATTCAAAACGCTGTAGTCTATATCTCTATCGGACACATATCATATACATTTAGCTAAACTAAAAAACGGGATAAAATTCCGTTTGCTCACATGTCGATGGTAGCAGCTTTATAATAATCCGTTGTCAAGGGGGAGTAGGGAGTGGGTGAAGGCGCGCACGAGAAAGAGAGAGAGAGATACACTATAGCTACAGTATATTTGTGAACGTAATACTATCCACAGGCAAGCGAACGATTGTTTCAATACTCCGTAGAAATCCAGCAGGCTTCTGTCACTTTGGTCCAATTTCTTACAAACTCTCTCCTGAAACTGCGAGCCGACGCCTGTGGAAAATGTTGACGCGTCTTTGAAGCACGACTCGCAGTCTGTACACAGTGATGCAGCAGGTTCCCTGGATATAATGGTCCCAATCGATGGTTGTAAAAAAATATATAGAAACCTATATTTTATATATTTTATTTTTTTATAACCATATATTTTACAACCATATATTTGTATATATATTTTTAAAGTCAAAACTCTTTAGAACCAAGGTTTTGGAGCTATGTAGTTGACTATTGCAAAAATATAGCGAACGGAAACGTGCGCGCTCTCTCTCGCTGAAATAATAATTTCATCCCAAAAAAACTACAGCTGCTCTGACTTGCTTTTGTGAACCTCTAGGGATAGCCTACTGCTTTGTTTTGTTTTTCTCAGATCATTGACGCTTGAAAGTAAACCATGTTTGTGTGTGTCAGTGTGCGTGTGTGTACTGGCCGCTTCAAGCTCATGCATAAGCAAGAAATCCAGTGTAGGCAGCAGAACATGATGAAGTTGAGCTCAGCTGGTGCAGTGGTCACTTAGCAGACAGGCTCTCCAGCAATGTCTCCTCGGAGTCTTCAATGACTTCAAAGTTCACAATACAACAGTTTTATTTTCAGCCAGAGGGCACAAAGTGTTACTGGAACAGTGTTTAAATGCGCTGAACTGGTAAATTAATGTTTTTGCAATGGGCTTGTTCACTGTTTTAGTGCTCACTCGTTGATTTGCTTTGGTGCTTTTTCCTTTTTACATCATTTCTTGCTTGGCTTTTAGGAAAGTCTAAATGGAAATCGAATTATAAAATCATTAGGGAGTATGCCTAAGGAAAACAAATTGCTGTCATTGAAATTAATAGAAATAAACAAAACTCCAGGACCACAGTCTCCTTCAAGATATTTTATTCTGTACACCACTTCCATTAATACATTGATTGTTTTCCTTTTGTTTCCAGAAACCTGGAGGTTGTTCAGTTACACAGATACATTGTATACACAGTCCCAGATCAATTATATTGGGCTCAACGGAGTACAAGTCTTTGTTTGCAACCCCTTAATCATTATAATGTCTCTATACAATGCTGCTGTTTGACAAATTCATATTTGTAAGTCACCTGCATTTCAATCATGTTGACTGATACACTGAGTGTACAAAACATTAAGAACACCTGCTCTTTCCATTACATAGACTGACCAGGTGAAAGCTATGATCCCTTATTGATGTCACTTGTTAAATCCACTTCAATCAGTGTAGAATCATATTTTTTTAAGCCTTGAGACATGGATTGTGTATGTGTGCCATTCAGAGGGTGAATGGGCAAGACAAAATATTTAAGTGCCTTTGAACGGGGTATGGTAGTAGGTGCCAGGTGCACCGGTTTGTGTCAAGAACTGCAACGCTGCTGGGTTTTTCACGCTCAACAGTTTCCCGTCAAAAATGGTCCACCACCCAAAGGACATCCAGCTAACGTGACACAGCATTGGAGTCAACATGGGCCAGCATCCCTGTGGAACGCTTTCGACACCTTGTAGAGTCCATGCCCTGACGAATTGAGGCTGTTTCAATACTAGGAAGGTGTTCCTAATGTTTGGTATACTCCATTATATTACCTGAGACTGGAAATGTAATGCTCAACTCTTTCACTACATATAATCTTAATTCTTACACCGCTGTTACTAATATTCATATTTCAACAGATAGATTTTATTTCCATTTTCAGAAGTTTACTTGTTGAGCTTCTGTACACAGTTGCATGACGAGGTATGGTAGTCTATTGGTGGCTATGGTGATACAAGTCTTAAGACTGCTTTTGCTGTTGTTTTCTTCTGTACATTCTTCTGTGTTTACTCTTTTGCGGCATGAAAGACATGTTTTGAATCTCCAGAGAGGTGAACAAGTCAACTCTGAAACATTCTTGTAATACAAGACAGACAGCACTAGACAGAGGTACATGCACACCAATACAGCTAGTATTTTTTGTGTATCCAAAGACACTTTCAATACAATGGCCACCTTTCCAGTCATACTATCTGAAATCTCTTTCTGAAATCTCTTACATGCATTCCTGGCTTCTCTTACATGGCTTCGTCTTCTCAGTGTACATTTACATGTTATTTACATTCAGTAACAGCTAGTAAAAGGTGTTATATGTTTGCATTTTTATACAGCGTTACCATTACTGTTGAATATAGATTATTTTGTGCAACTTATATGTGGAGATTTACAAACTGTACAATATAGGGGGGAACGTTTTTACAATATGCTTTCAGACATCAATAAACAAAGTAGCGGCTCGATTCAATCCGGAGCGCGGACGATCTGTGTTGTAGTGTGGTTGAAATGTAAAGGTAATTTCAGATTGAGCAGACATTTGCAGCATTTACCGTGAATGCAGTCTCCGCGAACGCGGAAACATTTCCTTTAAATGTAAATCGTGCTATAACGCTGATCTTCTGCGCTACTGATTGAATCAAGCCCTAGATATGATTGTTGTTTACGTTTTCTCCAACTGTAAACACTGAGCATGTTCAAGTGCAATGAAACTGTGCAACATCCAGAGACAAAACCACAGATCTCACAAAGCAGATGGTTAAACACACTAGGTGGTCTGCCCGTGTTCAGAAAATGAAGGTCTCATGTGCTACATAAAACATGTCACAGTCGAGTGCCCTTGAACAAGCTCCTAAAGCAGTGGTTCACCTGCTAGCAGTATGTTGGATTGTCCTGAACAGGACTAACATCTATTGTAGCCTACTTGTCCCTTTGTCTACAGCCTTTAAACTCATACCTCTTGGCTGTCCATTTTAAAAGTGCACCAAAATGGCAGTCTGATTCGCCGTTGATTGATCAGAGAGCTTTTTTTCCATTGTATTTGAGTTCAAGATAAAGTCACTGCTGGCTGGGGATTGATACACTACCATTGAGTGTGTGCTTTTATAGGACATGTTTATGTGGGTTGTGATATCAACACTATCCATGGGTCTATATGCAGTATGCTTCTATGTTTGCTTATTGTTTGGAATCACAGCAATGTGCATGACAGTACAAAGCTAATGGTACCAATGGTTTACTTTTAACTCTAAACTTCTGGGAATAATTATAGCAATGGCTTTTGTGAATTGTCTTTGCAAAACGACATAATATTATTCTCGGCATTTCACATAAAAAAAACAATCAACTATCATACTTTAATTATAGCGATTTTAATATAAAATAAATAAATAGCAATAAAAATGTTATTTACTCATTTCAAAATAAAATTGCTATCTGAATTTCAATGGCTGAAAAAGTGCTGAAATAAATTAATCAAGTTTATGAATATGTAATCAAATAAAGTAAATCATAATAAAGTCAACATAAATACAAATGTTGTGAACTTCTGTTAATAACATGTTGTGTATATACAGTGGTTTGACAAAAGTATTCACCCCCCTTGGCATTTTTCCTATTTTGTTGCCTTACAACCTTGAATTAAAATAGATTTTGGGGGGGTTTGTATCATTTGATTTACACAACATGCCTACCACTTTGAAGATGCAAAATTTTTTTTCTTGTGAAACAAACAAGAAATAAGACAAAAAAACTGAAAACTTGAGCGTGCATAACTATTCAGCTTTTGCAGCAATTACAGCTGCAAGTCTCTTGGGGTATGTCTCTATAAGCTTGGCACATCTAGCCACTGGGATTTTTGCCCATTCTTCAAGGCAAAACTGCTCCAGCTCCTTCAAGTTGGATGGGTTCCGCTGGTGTACAGCAATCTTTAAGTCATACCACAGATTCTCAATTGGATTGAGGTCTGGGCTTTGACTAGGCCATTCCAAGACATTTAAATGTTTCCCCTTAAACCACTCGAGTATTGCTTTAGTAGTATGCTTAGGGTCATTGTCCTGCTGGAAGGTGAACCTCCGTCCCAGTCTCAAATCTCGGGAAGACTGAAACAGGTTTCCCTCAAGAATTTCCCTGTATTTAGCGCCATCCATCATTCCTTCAATTCTGACCAGTTTCCCAGTCCCTGCCGATGAAAAACATCCCACAGCATGATGCTGCCACCACCATGCTTCACTGTGGGGATGGTGTTCTCGGGGTAATGAGAGGTGTTGGGTTTGCGCCAGACATAGCGTTTTCCTCGATGGCCAAAAAGCTCAATTTTAATCTCATCTGACCAGAGTACCTTCTTCCATATGTTTGGGGAGTCTCCCACATGGCTTTTGGCGAACACCAAACGTGTTTGCTTATTTTTTTCTTTAAGAAATTGCGTTTTTTCTGGCCACTCTTCCGTAAAGCCCAGCTCTGTGGAGTGTACGGCTTAAAGTGGTCCTATGGACAGATACTCCAATCTCCGCTGTGGAGCTTTGCAGCTCCTTCAGGGTTATCTTTGGTCTCTTTGTTGCCTCTCTGATTAATGCCCTCCTTGCCTGGTCCGTGAGTTTTGGTGGACGGCCCTCTCTTGGCAGGTTTGTTGTGGTGCCATATTCTTTCCATTTTTTAATAATGGATTTAATGGTGCTCCGTTGGATGTTCAAATTTGATATTTTTTTTATAACCCAACCCTGATCTGTACTTCTCCACAACTTTGTCCCTGACCTGTTTGGAGAGCTCCTTGGTCTTCATGGTGCCGCTTGTTTGGTGGTGCCCCTTGCTTAGTGGTGTTGCAGACTCTGAGGCCTTTCAGAACAGGTGTATATATACTGAGATCATGTGACAGATCATGTGACACTTAAATAAAGTTCACCTGTGTGCAATCTAACTAATTATGTGACTTCTGAAGGTAATTGGTTGCACCAGATCTTATTTAGGGGCTTCATAGCAAAGGGGGTGAATACATATGCACGCACCACTTTTCCGTTATTAATTTTTTTGAATTTATTGTAACAATTTATTTTTTTCCTTTCACTTCACCAATTTGGACTATTTTGTGTATGTCCATTAAATGAAATTTAAATTACAGGTTGTAATGCAACAAAATAGGAAAAGCGCCAAGGGGATGAATACTTTTGCAAGGCACTGTATGAATGTTGTGAGATTGAAGGATGTAAAGCCTTTTTAAGCAATCTTTTTATAGGTTTCTTAGAAATTGTATCCATACTTTTAAAAGGGGAAAATAGAGAATGAAAAGGATATTAATTATAAAGAAAATAGATTTTCATAGACGGCTATCAACAGCTAGGCCCTTTCCCTTTAGCAAACTGCAAATGTTAATTTTGTTTGACTGCGACAGACTACTAGATAATTACTTATTCTGTGCAAATAGTTTGCTAATTGTGCCTTTTTTTTTTGCCTTCAAAAATTCAGCTGTGGTTTCAAATCTGTAACATAAGGCATTTATTCCACAAAAACTGTGTGCAAATAGTTTTTGGTTGGACCTTGCTACAAATAGCGAGATCAATGTGCAAACTTAACAAAAATGTATATATATATATATATTTTAATCATTCATATCATATATTAAGAGATATAAATAGCACAATGTTAAGAAATCTCTCTCTATATATTTTTAAGAGCCATTTAGTCCTATCCTCAGATTAGGTGTTGTAATAACCTGAACCACAAGAGGGCAGTGGTGATATGAACCCTGGAAAGAGTCTGCTGGTTTTACATAACTGATGGCAAAAAATGTAAACAGCACTACTATCCAGACAATGGTACATCTACAGGGCATCATCAGTAAGGGTTAGGACTTCCTCCATGGTAAGTGAGGGACGGTACCACTATTAACCTGTGTTTCACAGTAGGGTTCATCACTTTCAGAGTCTGCGGGTGGGGACGCCTTATTCCTCTCCTTCTCACCGTCATCAGAGTCTTCCATTGCCGCAGTAATGAGGGGGGGAGATTTCCTGAAAGGGAGACGGAGAGGTTGAGTCAATACAACAGGCAATGAATGTCCTTGAGACAAGATGACTCAACGGACCGTACTCATAGCCTGGTCCCAAATCTGTTGAGCCGTCTTGCCAACTCCTATGGTCATTGGCGTAATAATGACCATAGAAGATGGCAAAACGGCACAAACTGATCTGGGACCAGGCTGCCATACTCACAGATGGGTCAATGTAACGATAGTACAGTGTGGCTAATGACAGTACCTGTATTCTCCATTGTGTATACCTGTCTATAATATTGTGTGTTTATCACTGCCATTGTATGACATGTTGTACTTATCCCTCTGGCATCGTGGAATATAATATTTTGCCTCTGTCACTAGCATTTCTGTCTGTCTAGTATTGCATAGACCTACGTCCACATCTCTTTAATATACTGTATGAAATCTATCAGTACAGTTGGGAGAATTAAAGAGTTAACCTGAGCGCCAAGTCTAGGTTCAAAAGGCTCCTTAGCTTCTACCCCCAAGCCATAAGACTGCTGAACAATTCATGAAATGGCTACCCAGACTATTTGCATTAACCCCCCCCCCCCCCCCCCCCTCACGGTATGGCCTACACCTGTTGTATTCGGCACGTGACAAATAAAATTTGATTTGATTTTATCTCTTGCTATCTTTTACCTCTTTCTGGTATCTAATACCAGGGTATCTCTAGGCTCTCTCTTTAACCATTTGGATATCTCATACCTAGGGTATCTTATTGAGCGTTTGGAGTTAGTGTTCAGCACCAAGCGAATGTGTCTGATACCTGTCTCCACTCTGGGTGATGAGTCTCCTGCACGTCTCCATCTGCACGTCCAGGCCTCGCTTCATGGAACACATCTCCATGTACTCGTGTAGGTGTCTGTTCATGTCACTCTTAGCCGTGGCCAGCTCCAACTGTGGGGACATAACGTAAGACAATCCATACTGTAAGTTTGCTTTCTGGTTTAAACTGTCAACACAACAATGTTTGAGTAATGAGGGGCAGGATCTTTGCAAGTGCAAAACCAAAGGCTGCAGTAATTTGCATAAATCTTTTTTTCTAGTTTGTGTTTCTTTTAGGTCGATTGTATTTGTACTTCTTATCGTTGCCACAGGGAACAGAGAAATTAGCAAATTAGCAAAGAGGAAAGACTACACGACCTTCAATTTGTTACTTCAGTTTATTTTATCATCTACACAGGAACTAACGTAATGTAAGCACATGGAATGGCTAACTTATTTATTTCCATAATGTAATAATCCCAGAGAAATGTCTATGTACACTGCTCAAAAAAATAAAGGGAACACTAAAATAACATCCTAGATCTGAATGAATGAAATAATCTTATTAAATACTTTTTTCTTTACATAGTTGAATGTGCTGACAACAAAATCACACAAAAATTATCAATGGAAATCAAATTTATCAACCCATGGAGGTCTGGATTTGGAGTCACCCTCAAAATTAAAGTGGAAAACCACACTACAGGCTGATCCAACTTTGATGGAATGTCCTTAAAACAAGTCAAAATTAGGCTCAGTAGTGTGTGTGGCCTCCACGTGCCTGTATGACCTCCCTACAACGCCTGGGCATGCTCCTGATGAGGTGGCGGATGGTCTCCTAAGGGATCTCCTCCCAGACCTGGACTAAAGCATCCGCCAACTCCTGGACAGTCTGTGGTGCAACGTGGCGTTGGTGGATGGAGCGAGACATGATGTCCCAGATGTGCTCAATTGGATTCAGGTCTGTGGAACGGGCGGTCCATAGCATCAATGCCTTCCTCTTGCAGGAACTGCTGACACACTCCAGCCACATGAGGTCTAGCATTGTCTTGCATTAGGAGGAACCCAGGGCCAACCGCACCAGCATATGGTCTCACAAGGGGTCTGAGGATCTCATCTTGGTACCCAATGGCAGTCAGGCTACCTCTGGCGAGCACATGGAGGGCTGTGCGGCCCCCCAAAGAAATGCCACCCCACACCATGACTGACCCACCGCCAAACCGGTCATGCTGGAGGATGTTGCAGGCAGCAGAATGTTCTCCACGGCGTCTCCAGACTCTGTCACATGTGCTCAGTGTGAACCTGCTTTCATCTGTGAAGAGCACAGGGCGCCAGTGGCGAATTTTCCAATCTTGGTGTTCTCTGGCAAATGCCAAACGTCCTGCACGGTGTTGGGCTGTAAGCACAACCCCCACCTGTAGATGTCGGGCCCTCATACCACCCTCATGGAGTCTGTTTCTGACCATTTGAGCAGACACATGCACAATTATGGCCTGCTGGAGGTCATTTTGCAGGGCTCTGGCAGTGCTCCTCCTGCTCCTCCTTGCACAAAGGCGGAGGTAGCGGTCCTGCTGCTGGGTTGTTGCCCTCCTACGGCCTCCTCCACGTCTCCTGATGTACTGGCCTGTCTCCTGGTAGCGCCTCCATGCTCTGGACACTACGCTGACAGACACAGCAAACCTTCTTGCCACAGCTCGCATTGATGTGCCATCCTGGATGAGCTGCACTACCTGAGCCACTTGTGTGGGTTGTAGACTCCGTCTCATGCTACCACTAGAGTGAAAGCACCGCCAGCATTCAAAAGTGACCAAAACATCAGCCAGGAAGCATAGGAACTGAGAAGTGGTCTGTGGTCACCACCTGCAAAACCAGTCCTTTATTGGGGGTGTCTTGCTAATTGCCTATAATTTCCACCTGTTGTCTATTCCATTTGCACAACAGCATGTGAAATGTATTGTCAATCAGTGTTGCTTCCTAAGTGGACAGTTTGATTTCACAGAAGTGTGATTGACTTGGAGTTACATTGTGTTGTTTAAGTGTTCCCTTTATTTTTTTTAGCAGTGTATTTATGGCTCTGTTTACAGTAGTGCTTCATCACTGCAGGCTTATGAATAGTATTCTAGAAGGGCTTTGTTTGTGTGTGTGTGTGTGTGTGTGTGTGTGTGTCTCACCTCAATCTGGTCGATGGTCTCCTGATACTCCTTCTCTCTGGTCTGGAAGAGGGACTCTGTGTCCTTTATCACCTTCTCTATGGACTCCTCCTGCTGCATGGTGCGTGGTGTGTGTGTGGGTGTGTGTGTGAGTGTGAGAAAGTGAGAGAGAGAACACATTGTTTTGTGCTAATTTGCCTAATATACATGAGGTGAAAGGAACGTCATGTCACAGTCGTACATGCAATGTTTAAAGTAGGACACAGACACACAGACAAGGCAGACCAACCATAAGAATAATTAACAAGCAGAAAGTACAGTGGCTTCGGTTAAAACATGCCCTTTAACACAGTTCTGGGATCAGCTTACCCTAGCCAGCTCCTAACATTAACCATTACATTGGTAAATACAAAACTGATCTTAGATCAGCCAGTGACTAGTGGTAGGTGTAGTGGCCTACCTCTCCCTGGGTCTCCACTGCTCCCAGAGTGTATCCTGGAAAGTCCTCCCACAGCAGCAGAGTCTCCTCAGTCTCCTCCCAGGCCAGGCTGTCACAGTCGTCCTCAAACTCACACTCCCTCCTGCAAGACCAACAATAGTATGGCTTCCTAGTTGTACATCTATTTATATACTGAACAAAAATATAAACACAACATGTACAGTGTTGGTCCCATGTTTCATGAGCTGAAATAAAAGATTCCAGAAATGTTCCATACGCACAAAAAGCTTATTTATCTCAGATTTACCCCTGCTAGTGAGCATTTCTCCTTTGCCATGATAATCCATCCACCTGACAGTTGTGGCATATCAAGAAGCTGATTAAACAGCATGATCATTACACAGGTGCACCTTGTGCTGGGGACAATAAAAGGCCACTCTAAAATGTGCAGTTTTGTCACACAACACAATGCCACAGATGTCTCAAGTTGAGGGAGCATGCAATTGACATGTTGACTGCAGGAATCTCCACCAGAGCTGTTGCCAGATAATTTATGTTAATTTCTCTACCATAAGCCGCCTCCAACGTCGTTTTAGAGAACTTGGCATTACTTCCAACCGGACTCACAACCGTAGACCACGTGTAACCACGCCAGCCAAGGCCCTCCACATCCGGCTTCTTCACCTGCGGGATGGTCTGAGATGAGCCACCCGGACGGCTGATGAAACTGTGGGTTTTCAAAACCGAAGAATTTCTGCACAAACTGTCAGAAACCGCCTCTGTGTGCTCGTCATCCTCATCAGGGTCTTGACCTGACTGCAGTTCGGCGTCGTAACCAACTTCAGTGGGCAAATGCTCACCTTCGATGGCCACTGGCATGCTGGAGAAGTGTGCTCTTCATAGATGAATCCCGGTTTCAACTGTACTGGGCAGATGGCAGACAGCGTGTATGGAGTCATGTGGGCGAGCGGTTTGCTGATGTCAACGTTGTGAACAGAGTGCCCCATGGTGGCTGTGGGGTTATGGTATGGGCAGGCATAACCTATGGACAACGAACACAGTTGTATTTTATCGATGGAAATGTAAATGCATAGAGATACCGTGACGAGATCCTGAGGCCCATTGCCGTGCCATTCATCTGCCGCCATCACCTCATGTTTCAGCATGATAATCCACGGCCCCATGACACAAGGATCTGTACACAATTCCTGGAAGCTGAAAATATCCCAGTTCTTCCATGGCCTGCATACTCACCAGATGTCACCCATTGAACATGTTTGGGATGTTCTGGATTGACGTGTACGACAGCGTGTTCCAGTTTCTGCCAATATCCAGCAACTTCGCACAGCCATTGAAGAGGAGTCGGGCAACATTCCACAATCAACAGCCTGATCAACTCTATGTGAAGGAGATGTGTTGTGCTGCATGTGGTAAATGGTGGTACTAGATACTGACTGGTTTTCTGATCCACACCCCTATATATTTTAAGGTATCTGTGACCAACAGATGCATATCTGTATTCACAGTCATGTGAAATCCATAGATTAGGGTCTAATGAATTTATTTCAATTGACTGATTTCATTACATGAACTGTAACTCAGTAAAATCTTTGAAATTGTTGCATGTTGCGTTTATATTTTTGTTCAGTGTAGTTCACTGGCCGACTTTGGTCTGCTCATTGCTTACAAGTGACAGACTCTAGTCCTGGAGATCAGCAGTGTGCAAGCTTTTTATCCAGCCCAACTCTAACAGTCCTGATTCAAATAATCATGGTTTGAAATGTAGAGTGGCTCTCCAGGTGTGGCGTTTGAGACTTTAGCAGACCTCGATTGCTGTCCATTTCCTCATAGTTAGGACTCACAGCTGGTTCAGCATCCTCTGCATCTCCTCGTTGATCTGATTGGCTGACGTGCTACACGACTCCTCATCCTTGCCCCCCTCGCTCTCAGAGATGCTGGTTGGTTCATCCCCGTCACCGCCTTTAACCGACTGGGCCGCCTGCTTCCGGGGCCGGCGAGTCAGAGTGGAAGGAGGTGTGGCCATCTGCTAGATAAAGGTGGGATAACAGTGTAATAGCAGAGTAATAAAGGTGTAATTAACATGACTTGACCTAGAAGATATGAGTGGACTTGCCTCCACAGATTTAGCCATGCTGTAATTATACCAATCGACGATTGCTCCAACAGATCTAGAATAAGCTTACCTTGGAAAAATCCTACATTTAACCATTATGGTGTTAAATGCTAAACTGATCTTAGATCAGTGTCTAGGGGCTACCTAACAGATAGTATAGTTAGTAGTACAGTGGCCTATGAGCGGTCCTGACCTGGAAGATCTGGATCATGTCTTCACAGTTCCTCTGCTGGGCCACGTCACACAGGCGAGCTGTGATGTCGATACGTCTACAGATGTCCATGTCCACCTTCATGGCCTTCTCCTGGATCTTACTGTCCAGATCCGACAGGTTCTGATAGAGAAAATAGGAGAGGAGAGTGAGTGAGTGAGACCCGCAAAAGTAAATAGGTGTTCCCAAATCGTATTTGTATTTTAAAGACATTTTCGAAGTAAACTGCACAATGAGTAACCATAAAAGTATTTTGTTAGAGATTTTCTACGATTTTATAACTCAAAGTTCTCATGGTACTACTCTTGAGGTATACTAATCTCAACAACTTGGGGTGAATTTGGGGTGTGCCAAACATTTTCATCATTATTCATCATTCATCATTTTCAATCATTTCCCAACATCGCTATGAGGGACTCACGTTGCTCATAAGGCCTTTGAAGAGGACCAGCTCAGCTTTCAGCTGTTTCACCCTGAGGGCCAGCTCATCCTGACACACCTCACTCTCCTGGAGGTCCTGTGCACACACACACACACACACACACACACACACGCCTAATTTGCATTGCATGTATGACATAACATAACTGATTATAAGGATGCATAATAAATAGAATGGGTGGTGTATTGAATAGTTAATTTCCAATCAACCCAGCTGATCTGAGGTGGAATCATAATGTTAGTGTGATGTGAAATATTAAAGGGGTAATCTGCTGTTCAAACAATAAAGCAGTTACCCACCAACTTTTTAGGTAAACAGTTTAGGGATGGGACTGGAGTAATGCAACCACTATCAAATTCATAGACGGTGCTATGGACACAAGGACCATCCATCAGCTCAAAATGATAGTTTTACCATGTTTTCAAGCTACAATGGAGAAAAACCCACTTATATTTTTGGTTCTAGGGGTATGTAGCAATCACAGATTGCCCTTTATCATTGACACAGCTATGGGCTTACCTCTTCCAGCTCAGCCACTTTCTCCTGGAGGTCCACTCTGACAGTGTATTCTTCCTCCCATCTGTTAACACACACACACACACAGTGATCATATAGATGAGAATGGAGACTGATGAGGAAGTCATCACGACAACATCACACTATCATCACTCTCTCTTCTGGGAACAATTTCCAATCGCAAACCCAATTGTATTAGTTCAATCTCACAATCACCATTGTCTATTTAGGCTATTCTAGTACCTCAATTTTCCTGACCATCTGTGACTGAGGGTAGATAACTTTGTCAAAGGCCAAAATGTCTCGGAAATAGTATAATAATAACACTGGTTACAAATACCAGAGAGACAGAAACCAGGCAGATAGCCTAATACCATCTACTATAGGCTACAGTGTTGCGCTCACGCGATTAAATTAACCAGTAAGGCCCGGGGTGTGTGGTATATGGCCAATATACCACGGCTAAGGGCTGTTCTTATGCACAATGCAACGCGGAGTGCCTGGACACAGCCCTTAGCCGTGGTATATTGGCCATATATTATCACAAACCCCAGAGGCGCGTTATTGCTATTATACAGTGCATTCGGAAAGTATTCAGACCCCTTGACTTTTTCCACATTTTGTTACGTTACAGCCTTATTCTAAAATCTATTAAATTGTTTTTCCCCCTCATTAATCTACACACTATACCCCATAATGACAAAGCAAAAACAGGTTTTTATAAAGTTTTGCTAATTTATTAAAAATCAAAAACTGAAATATGACATTTACATAAGTATTCAGACCCTTTACTCAGTACTTTGTTGAAGCACCTTTGGCAGTGATTACAGTCTCGGGTCTTCTTGGGTATGACGCTACAAGCTTGGCACACCTGTATTTGGGGATTTTCTCCCATTCTTCTCTACAGATCCTCTCAAGCTCTGTCAGGTTGGATGGGGAGCGTTGCTGCACAGCTATTTTCAGGTTTCTCCAGAGATGTTAGATCGGGTTCAAGTCCGGGCTCTGGCTGGGCCACTCAAGGACATTCAGAGACTTGTCCCGAAGCCACTCCTGCGTTGTCTTGGCTGTGTGCTTAGGGTCGTTGTCCTGTTGGAAGGTGAACCCTCGCCCCAGTCTGAGAACCTGAGCGCTCTGGAGCAGGTTTTCATCAAGGATCACTCTGTACTTTGCTCCGTTCATAAAGGCCTGATTGGTGGAGTGCTGCAGAGATAGTTGTCCTTCTGGAAGGTTCTCCCATCTCCACAGAGTAACTCTAGAGCTATGTCAGAGTGACCATCGAGTTCTTGGTCACCTCCCTGACCAAGGCCCTTCTCCCCCGATTGCTCAGTTTGGCCGAGCGGCCAGCTCTAGGAAGAGTCTTGGTGGTTCCAAACTTCTTCCATTTAAGAATGATGGAGGCCATTGTGTTCTTGGGGACCTTCAATGCTGCAGAAATGTTTGGTACCCTTCCCCAGATCTGTGCCTTGACACAATCCTGTCTCGGAACTCTACGGACAATTCCTTAGACCTCATGGCTTGGTTTTTGCTCTGACATGCACTGTCAACTGTGTGACCATATATAGACAGGTGTGTGTCTTTCCAAATCATGTCCAATGAATTGAATTTACCACAGGTGGACTCCAATCAAGTTGTAGAAACATCTCAAGGATGATCAATGGAAACAGGATGCACCTGAGCTCAATTTCGAGTCTCATAGCAAAGGATCTGAGTACTGTTTTTTATTTTTAATACATTTGCAAAAATGTATAAAAACCTGTTTTTGCTTCGTCATTATAGGGTATTGTGTGTAGATTGCTGAGGAAATGTTTTTGTTTAAATCCATTTTAGAATAAGGCTGAAACGTAACAAAATGTGGAAAAAGTCAAGAGTTCTGAATACTTTCCAAAGGCACTGTAAACTAGTTACCAACCAGTGGAGGCTAATGAGGGTAGAATGGCACATAATAATGGCTGGAATGGCACTAATGGAATGGCATCAAACACCTGGAAACCATGTGTTTGATGTATTTGATACCATTCCACTGATTCCGCTCCAGTCATTAGCACGAGCCCATTCTCCCCAATTAAGGTGCCACCAACCTGTTGTGTTACCAACATAATTAGAGCAGTAAAAATACATGTTTTTTTTACCACGGCTGTGAGCCAATCAGCATTCAGGGCTCGAACCACCCAGTTTATAATAAAGTTTGATGGAGTTTGTATATCCATGTTGTGTGCCTAATCTCCCTTACTCAGCTGTGTTATGCAACAGGACACCATGCATGTAGAGCACCCTGCTGCAACACTTACTGAAGGTGAAGTGGCCTAACCCAGGAGGGTGCATGTGCCATAGTGCACGTTGCCTATACACACTGTTATCAGTCTGCTCAAGTGGGGATGCAGTGTATAGGCCTACAGTAGCCTATACTGTAAATTCAACCTGGTCTCATAGCATTTTGTATTATTCTGTACGTAAATCCGCTACATCCATTTAGTATGATTTGTTATGTTTTGTATGGTATGTATGAAATTGTGGATGTCCATCACCCATTTCATATATTATGTTACGAATTACAATACGTACTATATGTTACAATTTTCAAATTTTTTTGATATGTTAACCTTTGGGTATACGTTCGCATTATACGCCCACCCATCCACCCCGACCAACCACTCTTTCATCCCAGAGGACATAAACCTTCTGAATCTGCAGATAAAATTAAATAATGTATATTTACTGCTGCACTTTTGCACAATGACTGCTCCTTGTTATCGATCTCATTGTTTCGTGTTATGTGTATATCAGTTATATGGTTGTCACTGTTTTTAATGTTGTTGTTTTTTATTGTTGAACCATGACTGCACAAAACATTTCCCAATTGGGACAATAAAGATAACTTGAACTTGAACCCTACTTTCGTTTTTGCCTTAAGTAACCATCTGTCTTATTTACATTTACATTTTAGTCATTTACCAGATGCTCTTATCCAGAGCGACTTATCCATACCAAACGTAACATATCATACTAATTTGTGTGTCCTGGATTTTACATGTACTATGTTACGTCTAGTCAATGAGACCAGGCTGGTAAATTGTACAAGCTGTAAACATATACACTGTATAAGTTGAATGGAAAAGGATGTTCTATTCTAGCTTCCCACAGCCCCCTGCAGACTCATTACACAAAAACAAATAGTATGTTATTGTATTGTTATGAGACAGTTGTTTTTCATGAGATCTAAGGCAGATGATTGAAAATGTTCCCCTGTTAAACCATTTGACCTTCTCCATAAAAGAGAATTAGAGGAAGGTGTTCCGGCTGGCAAGTCATAGAGGCTGGATAACAGAGAGTTGACGTTGCCTTGTTCCCATTAACATTCAGACAGTGGACTATAGGCTGTAGGGAAGGTTACTGATGTCATTTAGTGATGTCAGCATCTTCTCACGGATGCTGCAGAAGGCGAGTGCTCGTACAGGATGGGAAGGGGGGGTGAGAGAGAGAGAGCGAAAGAGAGAGGAACAGAGAGCTTATGCGTGTAAGAGAGAAGTAAAGTGGGAAAGGGTGTAAGTGAAAAAGAGAGAAAGAAAGGGAGTGAGAGAGAGAGTGTGAGAGAGGAAGAGAAAGAGGGAATGAGAAAGAGAGAGAATAATGTGAACAGTCTCTGGCGGCATCACTAGCGGTCACAGCTTTCAGTACAGTGCTGCATTGCAGGTGCTGAGACGAAACGCAGAGGGGCGGAGGAGAGAGAGAGAGAGAGAGGGTGAGAGAGAGAGAGAGAGAGAGAGAAGGGCCATGTGAGAGAGAGAGAGAGAAGGGCCATGTGAGAGAGAAATCCAAGTGTACTGCTGACTTCTCCCCAGCCTATTCAGCCCTCTCTAGATAATCCTCCTATTGGATAAGAGATTCGCCAGTGCTGTTATTTTAAACGCTATGATCAACTATGTTTGAACTATGATCCCCTACAAGCCTATAGTGAAGCTTTGTAATGGCATATCATTTGGGAAGTACAGGGGCAATTTGAAGACAAAACGTAGAGTGGCTAAAACACTTCAAGATTTACAAAGTAACCAGAAGCCATCTTATGGAGGATGATGATGACGACAAACAACAAGAAAACAGATGCCTCCTCATTCCAACTCCGTTCTAAGATAACATAGTACTTTTGTAGCATGATCATCAGCTGGACAAACATAAAGCCTGTAATATAGCTCTGCCTTATATTTCAAGATAAGTACTGTACGCAACTCCTTTAGACCTTGCACTTTTTTAGTCATTTTAGCAGACGCTCTTATCCAGAGCGACTTACAGTTAGTGAGTGCATACATTTTTCATCCAGGCCCCCCGTGGGAAACGAACCCACAACCCTGGCGTTGCAAGCGCCATGCTCTACCAACTGAGCTACAGGGGACTACATCATTTGCATGATGATGTAATGTTATTTTCTTGTGTTCTGGGGTGTAATTTGGTATGAAGAAAGCAAAAACACACTATGGTTGATTAGGCTCAAAATAGCCTACTGTTACTTCGGATACATTCCACACCTCATTTGTAACAGGAGAACCCAACTGTATATTGATACACACCATAATAGACAAAATGTCTAACTCAATATTTTTGCTTATTTTCTATGACATTACCACTTTTATATTCCTATTCTGACAAGACTTTGGCTGAAGGACACTGAGATGTTATGGTGTCTGTAACTATAAAAAGGATCACTGATTAGTAGAATCAGTGTGTAATTAGAGCAGAGCTGGAACAAAAGCCTGCACACACCTTCGCTCTCCAGGAGAAGGATTGGCCAATCCTGGGGTAGGGGTGTTGCCCTAATAATGGTGGGCTATAGAGACAATAAATGACATCACACATCAGGTTTACTGGTGACAATAACATATGCTTAAGGCCCCGGGCCTTTAACTATAATAGTTAGACTGCTTCATTCATACCTGCGTTTATACTCATCCCTTTCTCGTTTCACCTTGCCCAACACATTGTACAGGGCCCGTATCTCAGGGGTAATGGTGTCGATTTGAACACCTACTCCGTCCGTTTGGGCACAAGGCACACCCGTGCCCGTTATGCGCGAATCCCTCCCCGCGCCAAACCTGCGGTCGTGGTTGTAGGACCAAACGGTGCCGGGAAGGAACCGGGGAGGTTGGTTAGTAGACATACCAGACCCAAAACTGACATATTTCTCGTTAATGTTGGATATAGTCTTGGAAGGATCAGTAGGGGTTAATAAAGAACTGATGGAAATATGTGGAGTGAGTTGGTTGGAATTGAGGTTGCAATTCGAGTCAGTCAGAGTCGAGTTCCTAAATACTGATTTGCTGTTGGACTCAAAGAAGGGAGTTGTAGGCCTGTTGAGTGATGGAGAGAGAAGGCCTCCGGGTAGGTATGCAGAATTATTTACGTTCTGGAGGGGGATATGTCCGGGCCTAACTGCGATGGGCCCTACGAAACCAGTCTGGACTCCCATTTCCTTAGTCAATGGCTTTTTCCCGTGTCCTTCTACTGAATTGCCTTCATTATTGTCCAAAGCCTGCTGAAGCTGTTTCTCCAAAGCTTTATTCCGACGCTCCAGCTCATGAACTTTAGCCAAAAAGCAACGGAAGCGCAAATTCAAGGTCTTGAGAACACTGATGTTGGAGCCCAAGTCGTTACGCAGGGCCATCGCTGCGGGGGGCGACGGCGCACGGTGCATGTTGTTCAGGTGCAGATACGCGAGTCCCGAAGGTGGCAGCGCACTAAAGTCCAGGCCAGATAGCCCATCTTGTCCAAAGCCGGTGTGCTCACCCAAGTCAGGTGCACCGTATGAGTCTAGGCCTGTCATGGAAGAATCCGAATGGCTTCCCATCTGGTTATGCTGCTGTTGCTGAACAAGGTACGCGTTCTCCCCCAATAACGGATTCATGCTTGAGTATGAAAATCTGAAATGCTCAAAATCCGGCATGAAAACAGCCTTCTTAATTTAGCTTGAAAGCTAACTCTTGATGTAAATAATAGCCTTACTTGCTCTATCCCTAATAGCCTTACCCTGTGAAGACTTAGCCTATGCGTCCTACCAAGACAGAATAAGATAACCGAACAAAATAAAATAATGTATAGGCTATAGGTAAAAGGGTGCTATTGAACAAGTAGACTATTCCATGTCTTAAAATTACACCCGTCAGTGACTGAAAAAGCCGCAGCAATCAAGCGGTGAAGGCTACCTGGCTAGCCGCAGCGCAACTACTAACTTTGGCGTAGGTGATGTCTGCAGAGGTAACAGTCCAGTCAAGACCATCGCCAGGCAGAAATAAACAAACTACTGCGGGTTTTAACTACCGCTGTGACTAGAGTAAACGCGCAATCCTCACTTTGGATAGGCTAGGCCTACTGCTTGGCTTGAGTGAATTTCTCGACACGTTTCATTCATATCATAATATGTGTTTATTTTACCCTACACGTGAGTAATATCAATGGCATTATTGTCTGTAAGTCTAACTTTGTCACCATTATTTCAATCGAAGATGGCTCACGATTTAGGAGTTTTACGGCACCCTCAGCATCACTTGGGGACGTCAGAGAGAGCCCATAATAACATCGCCTGTAAGGTTCTCTGCTCATATTGTCTAAAAACAATGGACTACTGGCTTATTAAAACTTTTGGACTGTGTTCTGTGCAAAAGTAGACCTACACCTAGTTGAAACGTATGCTACACATGCTCCACTACACGATTTCCCGTTGTTTGATCGAGGGGGGCTGAAATATGGGAAAATACATTTTATTTTATTTGGCAACTTTGACACATACATAAAACAATAGAGAAAATACTCAAAAAAACGTTTAGCATATATCCAAGGTTAACTGTTGAATGTTGTACTTACTGTCAATTGGATCAATTGAGAGAAGAGTACGACTTGCTGACAGGCCACGCCCTCTTAGTGTGGACAGATTGCTGTTGGTCATGAAATCCTGATGCTTCTTGTGTAGATCTCCCCACAGCATTTGATCTATGCCAATCTTTGGCCTGCCATTCACTGAAATGTCAGAAGGAATTAAATATTTACTAACATCACAAGATCATCTTCCAGTAGCATTTTGAACATGTACTGTGTGTGTGTCCCACAGGAATCTATCTAGGCATTAAAATCAGACTTATGTGTCATAGTGTAACTGGAAGTGGCATTTACAGTTGGAATGGAGGATGTTGCTCTTTTCTCAATGGGGGTTTTCACTGTACTGGTAGAATGGTCAGGTGTATAATGACTTGTAATTGAGGAGAATGGTGTTATCTCAAAGGTGGTGGTGGTCTTTGCTGTAGTAGAATTGTCAGGGCTAAACATACTTGAATTTATGGATGTTGGTATCTTTTCAGTGGTTGTATTCTGTGCTCTGGTAGCATAGGCAGGGGCATTAAAACTGGAAATCAAAGATGTAGTTGGTCTCGTCTAAATGGTTGTTTTGTTACCACGGTCCTGTCCTGAGCGAGTGAAGGGACAGAAACAATAAACTTAAAGAGATAGTTTTCTACAGAAAGCCCTGTGAAGTAAACAAAGCATAGAATACGTTTGCCACGCTTCTCTAAAAACATCCCAAAATACCTTATCAATACTTAAATCAGACTTATATTGACACAATATCACTCCAGAAGATCTGTGTTTGTCTACGTTTATGGAAAATAACTTTTCCCAAAGAGTTTTAGTCTAAGTTTTTACTCCCATTCTAAGTGTACGTTTTTACTCCCATTCTATGTGTACGTTTTTACTCCCATTCTAAGTGTACGTTTTTACTCCCATTCTAAGTGTACGTTTTTACTCCCATTTAAGTGTAAGTTTTTACTCCCATTCTAAGTGTACGTTTTTACTCCCATTCTAAGTGTACGTTTTTACTCCAATTCTAAGTGTACGTTTTTACTCCCATTCTATGTGTATGTTTTTACTCCCATTCTAAGTGTACGTTTTTACTCCCATTCTAAGTGTAAGTTTTTACTCCCATTCTAAGTGTACGTTTTTACTCCCATTCTATGTGTATGTTTTTACTCCCATTCTAAGTGTACGTTTTTACTCCCATTCTAAGTGTACGTTTTTACTCCCATTCTAAGTGTACGTTTTTACTCCCATTCTATGTGTATGTTTTTACTCCCATTCTAAGTGTACGTTTTTACCCCCATTCTATGTGTATGTTTTTACTCCCATTCTATGTGTATGTTTTTACTCCCATTCTAAGTGTACGTTTTTACTCCCAAACCATACATAGTTTACTTCATAGGGCTTTCTGTAGAACCTGTATTTTAAATAAGTAGAGCTTGTATTTTAAATAAGTTAGAACACAAACCAATTAGGATTGCGGTAAAAACCCAGAAAGCTACCCCTTTAAGTCGTAGTTAAAGGTATATACAGTCAGGTCCATAAGTTTTCGGACAGTGACACAATTTGCATCATTTTGGCTCTGTACGCCACCACAATGGATTTGAAAGGAAACAATCAAGATGTGCTTTAAGTGTAGAGTTTCATCTTTAATTTAAGGCTTTTGTCAGAATTATTGGATGAACCGTGTAGGAATTACAACCATTTTTATACATAGCCCCCCAATTTTAGGGGCTCAAAAGTAATTGGACAAACTAACATAATCATACATTTAATTGTGAGTTTTAATACTTGGTTGCAAATCCTTTGCAGTCAATTACTGCCTGAAGTCTGGAACCCATAGACATCACCAGATGCTGGGTTTCTTCCCTGGTGATGCTATGCCTTTACTGCAGCTGTCTTCAGTTCCTGCTTGTTCTTGGGGCGTTTTGCCTTCAGCAAATGAAATGCATGCTCAATTGGATTCAGGTCATGTGATTGACTTGGCCATTGCAGAACATTCCACTTCTTTGCCTTAAAAAAGTATTGGGTTGCTTTTGCAGTATGCTTCGGGTCATTGTCCATCTGCACTGTGAAACGCCGTCCAATGAGTTTTGAAGCATTTGGCTGAATCTGAGCAGATAATATAGCCCTAAACACTTCAGAATTCATCCTGCTGCTTTTGTCAGCAGTCACATCATCAATTTATACAAGGGAACCAGTTCCATTGGCAGTCATATATGCCCACGCCATAACACTACCTCCACCATGCTTCACAGATGAGGTGGTATGCTTCGGATCATGAGCAGTTCTTTCCCTTCTCCATACTCTTCCCATCATTTTGGTACAAGTTGATCTTTGTCTCATCTGTCCATAGGATGTTGTTCCAGAACTGTACAGGCTTTTTTAGATGTTTTTTTTGGCAAATCTGGTCTCACTGTTTTTGAGGCTTACCAAAGGTTTACATCTTGTAGTAAACCCTCTGTATTTACTCTGGCGAAGTCTTCTCCTGATTGTTGACTTTGACACAGATATGCCTACCTCCTGGAGGGTGTTCTTGATATGAACAGCTGTTGTGAAGGGTTTAAATAATAATTCTGTCATCCACCACAGTTGTTTTCCGTGGTCTTCCGGGCCTTTTGGTGTTCCTGAGCTCACCAGTGCATTCTTTCTTTTTAAGAATGTACCAAATAGTTGATTTGGCCACACATAATGTTTTTGCTATCTCTCTGATGGGTTTGTTTTGATTTTTCAGCCTAATGATGGCTTGCATCACTGGCAGTAACAGCTATTAGGACTTCATATTGAGGGTTAACAGCAACATATTCCAAATGCAAATGCCACACTTGAAATCAACTCTAGATATTTTATCTGCTTACTTGTAAATGAACTAATGAGGGACTAACACACACCTGGCCATGGAACAGCTGAGCAGCCAATTGTCCAATTACTTTTGGTCCCTTAAAAAGGGGGGGGGACCACATATAAAAAGTGCTGTAATTCCTACACCGTTCACACGATTTGGATGTAAAGACCCTCAAACTAAAGCTGAAAGTCTGCACTTTCTGCTCATATTCATTATTTAATTTCAACTCCAATATGCTGTGGTAGACAGCTAAAATAAGAATAACTTGGTCAATGTCCAAATATTTATGGACATGACTGTATATTAATTAAAGGTGTAGACAGAGGCAGTTAGAGCTTGAATGGAGGAATGTGTTTTTTCCTCAACATCTTTCTCCTCAACATGCAGGGCTGCAGGTGCAAGAGCAACGGTTTTGTCTTTGCACTGACTTGTGGATGTGACATTGGTAGGAGCAGCTGTAGTCGGGCTGGAAGAGGTTTTCCCAACATTATATTCCTCCTGTACGAGACAGAGAAAGATAGAATAGGAGAGCGAGGGCGATGGGGCAGGGAAACACATTTAGCTTTCAAATTTAAAGCCACAATCTGTAACTTTGGCAACAAGACAAAGATAAAGTACTTGCTCTCACTTCGAAAGCACTTTAACCCATTCATGTAGCCTAATATTTACGACTTCACCAACTGGTACAAATGAGATTGCGAGGACCGTTTTAACACACCATCAGACAGACAACTGATCTTACCCAGCTCTTGGACAAGGTGTGGTTGATATTTTTTGAGACACTTGTAGAAGGCTGCTTTTACTTTTGCTCCTCCAGAGCGACAACAGTCGTACAAATCTCTCATTTGATCCTGGGAGGTCTTTTCTTTGTGGATTTTATTGTAAGCCTCCTGTTGTATAATGCCCTTGTCAAGCAGGTAATCTGCTATAGGCATGACCATGTTGATCCTCATAATGAGTTCACACCTGTGCTGATCCACAAACGCAGCACCTTGGATTCAGATAAGGAAAAAAAAGTGTTTGGGAAGACTTAGAGGAATTTTCTTTTTCAGAGAAGTGTATTTTTCACAAGTTACAACAAATATATATTTTTAAGAAATGCAAATATGTAAAACAAAATATTTAAAAAATAGTAATATTTTAGTCTTAACTTTGGGATTGCCACAAAACTGCACCTCACCTCAAAATTTTTCTAGTATCTGTATAAGACGAATGGG